ACCTTAGATAGGCGCCTGAATGGGACCTCTTATACAGGCGCCCCTCGATAATGGAGCATCGAGCCGCCTTCCTCTTGAGCCGCCATGCTTCTTTCGAGTCCTCCGGGGTGGCGCCCCTGGTGAGGTATGCTATGATGGGCGTCATCCAATTGTCGTCCTCCGTGGAGTTGCCTATGGTTGCTATCACGTACTCTGGTGGAACTTCCTTTGTGACAATGACTTTTCTTTCTTCCGCGAAGTCTAAAGCCGTAGCTAGCTTGGATAACGCATCTGCATGGGCGTTCTCTTCCCTCGGGACATGCGCAAACTCCACCTCCCTAAACCAGGCGCCCTCTCTTCTGACCGCTTGGACATAGGCTTCCAGAGCTTCCTCCTTCACATCGAATGCCCCGTTGAGTTGGTTGACCACTAAGGCTGAATCTGATTTTACGCAAACATGCTGAGCGCCTAACTCTCGCGCCATGCGCAGCCCTGCAACAACCGCTGCATACTCGGCCGCGTTGTTAGTCTTGAGCTCCGCAAACCGTAGGGCAACTTCGTGCATGACGCCACTAGGGCTGATAATTACTATCCTTGCTCCTGCGCCCACTCGACTCGCCACCCCATCCACTTGAACTTGCCATGTATCTTCATTGGCCCCTTCGTCCTCCACTATTCCTTCTGCCACAAAATCAGCAAGCACCTGGGCTTTGATGGCAGGTCGGGGCGCATACCTGACATCAAACTCACTCAGCTGCACTGCCCATTTAACGAGGCGCCCTGCCACATCCATAGAGCCCAAGGTGGACTTGAGCGGTAGATTAGTGAGCACAATGATGGCATGCGCCTGGAAGTACGGGCGCAACTTCGTGGCGGCTGTTACGATCGCCAAAGCAGCCTTTTCGATAGGCGCGTATCTCTTTTCATGGGGGCCCATTGTTTTACTTAAGTAGTAGACTGGTCTCTCCTCTCCCGAAGGCGCTTCCCTTGATACCAATACCGCACTAACCGCCGTCTCTGAGACTGCTATGTATAAGTACAACACCTCACCAGCCTTGGGCGCTGTCATCACCATGGGTGCCGCCAAGAGGTGCTTCGATTCCTCGAATGCCTTTCCACACGCGTCGTCCCATTGGAAGAAGGAGGCCTTCTTAAGCACTCTAAAGAAGGGAGCGGCCTTGTCAGCAGACCGTGGTATGAAGCGCCCCAATGCTGCCAGTCTCCCCGCCAAACCTTGTACTTCTTTGGGCGTTCTCGGCAGTGTGAGCTTGATGATGGCCTCCACCTGTTTTGGATTCGCCTCAATCCCTCTTTTGGTGATCATGAAGCCCAAAAATTTACCCGCCTCGGCACCGAAGACGCATTTGAGGGGGTTGAGTCGAAGGTTGTGTAGGCGCATAGTTTCAAAGGTTTCTCTCAAATCATCTAGGTGGTCCCCCCGCCTACGGCTCTTGACTATCAAGTCATCAACATAGCCTCAACATTCCGTCCAATTTGCTGTTGGAAGACTGTATTCACCATTTGCTGATACGTGGCGCCTGCATTCTTTAGCCCAAACGCCATTACCTTGTAGCAAAAGTTTCCGAAGGGAGTCATGAACGCCGTCTTCAACCGGTCCTCCTCGGCCATGGGGATCTGATGGTACCCTGAAAACATGTCGAGGAAACTAAGCATCTCATGATAGGCGGTGGCGTCCACCAATAGGTCAATGCGGGGCATTGGGTACGCATCCGTTGGACACGCCCTGTTGAGGTTCGTGAAATCAACACACATCCTCCAGTCTCCCTTTGGCTTTGGGACAAACACCACATTGGACAGCCACGTCACGTAGGCCGCTTCTTCCATGAACCCGGCGTCCAAGAGCTTATTGACCTCCACTCTGAGCATAGCCTCCTTTTCTTGAGACAAGTTCCTCCTCTTCTGCTGGACGGGCTTCTTCCCTGATTCCACCGCCAACCTATGGACAGCCGTTTCAGGTGCCACCCTGGGCATTTCCTTGGCACTCCATGCAAATAACTCCGCGAATTCTCTCAATAGCGCGACCAACTTGTCAACCATTTCAGGTGGCGCCTGTACTGAAATCCTTATCTGCCTTTCCTGTTTGCTCTCGTCTAAGGGAATCATCAACTCCTCATCGGCTGCCTCGGCCCTATGCGCCTCTTCCGTGGAAACCATATTCACCCTTTGACTTTTCCGTGGTCGCCTGTTCTTCAGTTGAGCATAAATCGGGGCGCCTCTTCCCCGTGCAATGCCTACTCCCTGCGGTGCTATGAATTTTAACGTCTGATGGCACGTAGACGCCACCCCATTGAACAAGGCTAAAAGGGGCCTGCCAAGTATTGCATTGTAGGGAGACGGGCAATCCACCATCCCGAAATCAATAGCGTGTGTCACACGTTGCTCTTCATCGCCCAGAGTGACGGAGAGGCGCACACGCCCAATAACCTTTGCAGGCGCCCCTGAGAACCCCACCAATACCGAATCCGATGGTCGTATCAAGTCGGGAGACAAATGCATTCGTGCCATTGTGTCCTTGAACAGCACGTCCATGGAGCTCCCCGTATCTACTAGCATCCTCTTTACTGTGCACCCGGCTACTATCCCTTGAATCTCAAGCGCTTCCAAAGAGGGTATCCCATAGGCCTCGTCAGGCGCCTGATTGAAGCTAATGCACACCCCCTCTTGCCTGTCCACCGCCATCGCTTTCAGGCGCCTGCTAGCTTCCAGCTTATCCCTAAAGTCCATCGTGCCCGTGATCGCTTCCACCGTCAGCCTTACTTTCTCGGGCACCTTCTCTTGATCGAGCTCAAATGGGGGCGGGGGTAGATCCTCCTTGGGCTCGGCCCTTGCTACATACGTCATGTGCACCCTCTCCTCTGGTTTTTTGACAAACTCATTGAGCATGCCCCTATCCACCAATCCTTGCTATTCAGCCTTCAACTGGTAACAGTCAACCGTATGATGCCCTCGCTCCCGATGGAAATCGCAATATCGGTCCAAATTCTGCGGATTAGGTTGCCCTCTCATAGGCCCTGGCCATCTCACATGGTAGCCCTTATCCTTCACATATTGTAACACGTTCTTCGGCGAGTCGCTGAGCTCTGTGAATTGATTTGCCCTAGGCGCTTGGCGTCCCTGTTCACCCCTCCTTGGCCCAAACGACATTCCTCCATAGGCAGGCCTAGACTCAGGTGTCTGCCTCCGCACACCGTCCCCTTCTTCACCCTTCGGTCGGCGCCTATCAGCGCGTCTAGCGGCCAGCGTCTCCTCCAAAACTATAACCTTTTGCACCCTTCGATCCAAATCTTCAGTAGACACCACGTCTCGCTTAGAAAGCGCCCGACAAAGTTCTTCACTCGTGGTGCATTCCTCTAGGGGGACCCCAAGCACCGGAGGGTGCACATCTTTCACAGCCATAGCTACTGGTATCCACCGCTCGTAGAACTCCCTCAAGGTCTCTCCCTCCTTTTGCTTAATCTTGAATAGGGCGCCTACGGTCAGTGTACGCCTTTTCCTGCTCGCGAACTTGGCTAGGAATATCGCCGTGAATTGCTCAAAGCACTCTATGCGTCCTTCTTCTATCTGATGGTACCAATCTAGGACTACGCCGGCGAAGGTTGAAGGAAACACCTTACACAAGGTCGCGTTCGTACTGTTATACAGTTGCATTTTGGTGAAGTAGCTGTTTAGGTGATCATCCGGGTCTGCCGTACCATCATAGGTGGGAAGTGGTGTAATGTTGGTACTGGCGGGCTCGGCGAGCACGCTCCTGGCCAAGGGCTGCCTCACCACGAACTGACGAGGTGGGCGCCCCTGCATCCACACATTTCTCTCTCCCTCCGAGTCTCCATAGTCAGCCAGGCGCCTCATGCTAGCTAGACGCCTCAGTGAGCTGGACTCCCCTTCTGCCTCCACCGTCCGTTCCCTCTTCCTTGTCATCGGGCTAGGCGCCCCTTCCTTCAACATCTCCACCTCCCTCCGCAGGATCCCAATAGCCTCATCTTGGTCCGCTATGATCTTGAACAACTCCTTCTTGGTGACCGAGGCTTCGTCTGAACTCATGCGCTGGTCTTCACTCCCTTCCCCCTCGTCCCTACTAGGTGTTCCTTCTCTTACTTCTTGAGACGCCTCTCCCATAACATGCTCCTCGACGTTGCTCCCCCCTTCCTCCATTTGAAACAAAAGCGCCCCTTCTATCTAGCTGCTGCCTGATTGCCTGAACTCCCACGCCGATTCTCACAGACGGCGCCAATTGTTGATGCCCCCTTGATCCGCTCACTCCGCTTCCGTGCCGAACTCCTAACTCCCCGAACCCCCCTGCACACAAAGAGGTGGGCCTCGTGGCCCGTTAATCCTCCAACGCTCAAGTCAACCTTTTTCTTAGAGAGAGAAGTATCTTGTTGACAAAACTCCTTTTTTAGTGAGAGAAGCTAACCTCCATAAATGTTTGCCAACCACCGTATTTATAACTGTTCATTACTCACCTTGGCTGGGCCGTACAAGCTTCCACGTCAGCACCACATTTAATGTCTCATTTCAGGCGAGGCGCCTGTCTCGTCCCTCCACCAGGAGGTACGCTTCAGGCGCCTTTAGTGTATACAGGCATCCACCTTCGCAAGGCCCTTTCAGCGCCTTGACTGACCGTACTTTTCCATGCGCACTTAACTAAACCCTATACTCTAACTAACTGGGCTCCCGCTCCCACGACTTTGGGCTTCCCATGCCCACTAGGGCCTCGTTCCTCTCTGGGCTCCTTTAGAATCCCTTTCTTGCATGTCTCGTTGCCACGTCGGACTCCTTACGAATGCCCCCCAACATCGTTAATAATTTTGTAACTCTTTTCTTAGTTAAAATACTACAATTATGGAATGTTGACCTTCATGTGTCTCTTCCAAGTCGGTATCATGTTGCCAAGTCAATATTACTAACAAAATTGCTAACAAAAAGTTAACATTTAGCTAATTCTTAGTATTTCGATAGATTTGAATAATATAAAAAAATCTTAAAAAATTTGGATAAAAATAGACATTACCCTTGTTTTTATCCTAAATTAAATTGCTTGATTACCTGACTAAGTATTTAATTTAATTAATTGTTTGCCTTAGTTGCAAAGATCACGAACTCAAATTCTAACGGAGAGTACATAGGAACTTTGGGGAAAAGGATGCAAAAGTTAAAATGAAAAGTTGGAAGTTCAATAAGTGAAAACTTTTTAGTTTAAGGTCACGATTGTTTAGGTCACATAATTTAGGAGCATAATACAATTTTGATAACCCATTTTATTTTATCTCTTCGTTCTTTTTTGTTGTTGTCAATTATCTTTTCCGTTACTTGTTCGCCGAAAAAGGGGGGAAAGGGCGATTCTCTCGGGCTAGCAGTTTAGCACAACAATCTCATCGCATGCTGGAACTCCGGCGCCGATCAGCAACTACTTCTGCGGAACCCTAGTTATTTGATTTCAATTTACGGACACAAATTCCGGTCGCCGTCCCTCTGCCGAGTTCGCTTCCAGGTTCTTTCCGAATCTCGAAGATCGAAGGGATACTTTTCGGATGGCTCGACGCTAATACGAATGGCACCGGCTCTCATCTGCATCCTGCAAAACGTATGGCCATTCTCGACGCTCAAGTCCGATGATCTCAGAGCTTCCGATGCTTTGGTTAACAAGCTATCGATACCTGAATCCACAAAGAGATTTGTTTACGCCGTCCATGATCGCAAATCAGGTTCCGTCATTTACATCCTCTCAGTGCAGAATTTGTCTGAACGGTCGGCTGTAGATGTAGAGTGTCTTATTCGGGAGGTTCGGCCCGAAGCTGTGGTGGCTCAGGTTGGGAATTCAGCTGTGTTGGAAGATCTCGTGGAAGAGAATCGTTTGGCAGGTGATGGTTGTAATCTGGTTCCCACTTCGTTGTTTGGTGTTCTTAAGCAGTGTTTCGTGCATAAGATTAATAAGGAGAAGTATGAAAGTTTAGCTGGGAACTTGGTTTTGAAGGAAATATTTGGGGTTGGGTTCCATGGCCACATTTGGGCTGCCAATCAAGCTGCCTTAGAAGTTGGCTCATCCTTTTTATTGCTTGAAGCCCCATGCATTAGAACGCTTAATGGGGATAATAATGATGTTGCTACCAAAGAGGTTGAGGAAGTGAGCAAGTTTGAGGGTTTAGTCAGCAGCTTGATCCCGCAGAAACCAGCTTCTGTTGTTAACTCTAGGGCCTTTTCTCTATCTGATAAATTTCAGTCAAAGATGGTGAAGCTATTACCTTCGAGGAATGGTGTTTCTCCCTCAGAGGCAGGGTTGAGTGGAATTAAGCTGGAGAACACTTTCCAGGTGCCACCATTTGCCCAGTCTATATATCCGTTACTTGTTGACCTGCATAACATATTCATGGATCTTCCATCAATGGGTACGGCCTTGAACTGTTCACAAAAGATGTTGTATGATATCAGCAGAGGGGAAAGTATTAACATGCGAGTTGTATCTGAAGTGAGCACCTTCCGAGTTGCTGTTGAGGGATTAAGAATTGCACTAAACAATGCTGGTCGGTTACCCATCAGAAAATTGAGGCAACCAACTCAAACTAGTGTGGATTTCTCAGAGCTCCCAGTTGAACAGAAATCGCATGCACTCCTTGCTCATGCCCTTCAAAACCAGAGTGAGAAATATAAAACCATAGTCGCTGTAGTAGATGCCAGTTCTTTGGCTGGTCTTAGGACACATTGGAACACTCATGTACCTCCTAATATCAAAGGTCTGATTGGTGAGCTCATCACGGATTGTAAGACCCATGGGGAATCTTCAAATCAGAAGGACAAGAGATGGCCATTCTCCGGCAAACCTGCGGTGTCAGTTGGTGCTGGGGCAACAGCAGTTGTGGGAGCTTCATCTCTGTCTAAAGTTATTACTTTATCGACATTATCAAAGGTTTTAACATTCAAGCTCCCAACTTCTCTTAAGCTTATGGTGTCCCAAGCTAATAAGGTGATGGCATTTGCTTTAACCAAGAGTGGTCCAACAAAATTTGCTGCTCCTGGGTTGGCAAACTATAGTGCCAATGCAACGTCCGTCATGAAGTCAGCTGTGTCTGCCGAGAAGATTCGAACAGTAGCCCATAGCATGATAGCATCAGTAGAAAAGACTAGTTTTTCAGCAATGAGAACGGCTTTCTATGAAATAATGAGAAAAAGACAAGTCCGACCTGTCGGTTTTCTGCCTTGGGCAACATTTGGAGGAAGTATCATGACGCTGTCAGGATTGCTATTATGTGGAGATGGAATTGAATGTGTTGCTGAATCTTTTCCTTCTGCTCATTCAATTGCTAGCTTGGGTCGGGGTATCCGAAGCTTGAGGCTGGCTTCTGAGGAAGTTAGGCAGAATGATTGCAGAATACAACAATCTATTGATTCACTGACGTACAGGCTGAAGAAAGTAACTATTCAATAAAGGAAAGACACAATTGCTTGAGTAATTGAGCGACTTGTCGTTGTGGTTTTCAGACGTTGGATCCAATTGTAACTGCCTGCATGAATGATGGGCAAGAGTTCTTTGATGAATCTGAATCCTGGAGCTTGTAGGTTGTTTGTAACACTGTTTTCAATGACGTCATAATTCTGCTGTATAGCGGGTTTTCCCCATGTTTCTGTATTGATGGGCTTGAAGGTATGCGAATAAGCTGCTTGGCAACCAGCTGATTTTTGGATAAAGGAACTGCAGTGTGAAGATAGGATCTTGACTTTACAGGTTGGTTGGCCCATCTCTTAAATTCTTCATGCAAGTTTAATGCTTATGTTTGATTTTGGTTAGACTTCTGGTTTACTAAAATAGGTCTGTTATTCTTTTGAATTTCTGGGTTATACTATTAGTATAGACATGACCTTTCTTGTTCTCTAATTAGACTAACAACTAAAGAACCATGAAACCAGGATATGAGATAATGGCTATATATGTGTGATCTTGTCTAGAGAATATGGGCCGAAATTTAAGCATGAGGAGGCAAAGTAGTGTACTTATTGGACTAGAAAAGGCGTTGAGTATTTAGTAAAAAGTGGATTGTGAACGTAGGTTGCACGTGGTGGTGATCTTACTGCATTTACTTTTTCTGGTGTTGTAAAATGGAATGACTGCTGGCTATCATCTAAGTTTGCTCAAGAATTGAGGGGAAAAGATGATTTAGCATTGATTAACTTGCCTCTTCGAGTCGCTCTAAGTTGGCATGAGCTCAACATTGTGGGAGTGCAACATATGAAAGCTCGTAAGGCTTGATTCTTGTCAGCCATCATAGATACCGTTGGGGGAATATCACAGTAGTTTACATTTTGAGGACAAGGAATAACAGACGAGTTTGAAAATTGTTCTGCACTTGTTAACCCTTGTGCGCCATAGGTAATGTCAAATTTAGGAATCATTGATGAAATTATGTCGATCGAATTGCTACTGGGTAACCTTTCTGGCATCAACATGTTGGGTGCCTCAATCTATTTATCTAGTAGCCTAACACTCACCGAACCCTTTGCTTTGGCAGATCTTGGGATATTGCTGGAGAGGAACGATTCCAGAACCTTTGTTCTCCCCTTCCATCATGTTGGTCATTGCGGCCTTCATGTATACTATGTAAAAATCACTGACAATCTCTCAACATTTGAAGCTAGGAATTCCTAGACCCAGCTGGTTTCAATCCTTAGAAACAGCGTAGGCGGTGAAACAATAATGGCCGCATGTATTTTTGCAAGGGAATTTTTTTTTGACGTTGATGGTGGTGAAGCAGAATGGTATGCACCTCTTCCAACTTCGGCGTCGTCCCTTCTCCCAGTTTCCTTGTTTTTCGTTTAGTCTTTGATCATGTGCTATGTCATATACGTACTTGTCTGATCACATTTCTGCTTGCTATTTTCTAGGTTTCAGTTGAAAAGACTCATCCAAAGTAAGGCATGTGCATGTCTTTCCCGGTCATAGCAAAGAATGCCTTGATGAATGGAGAAGAGGGAGAAATGTAAGTTGAAATTCTGGAAAATCACCATTAGAGCAGATGATGAAATTTGTGTAATTAATTACTCTCTGAAGGCAGATCCTTTTTGTTCTTTTAGGTTGTATTATAAACTGTATGATGCGTTAAAGCTGGACCGACGAAATCATCATCTCAACTCAGTCAATTCTTACCAAGAAATAAGAAATGTTTCCTCAAAATGTCATCGAGATTTTCAATGATTTGTGGAAATGTAATATTGCAATTTGATGGTAAGAACGACGATGGCACTGGCAGAGCGTGTGCTACATTACTCTTTGTAGCGTGCACGTCAAGTTAAACGACTTCGCTTTGCTCGGGTCGACTTGTTGGCAAAGGAAAAATAAAATTAGGGCAAATACACCGACGGTGAATCTATGACATTCACAATTTCAGAAACATACACATGCTATTTTTACCCCAGTCTCTACATGTCTCCCCCCTAATAATTGGTTACATGTCTGGTAATAAACAAGCTCAGTAGCAAAGTCAGCACTGTCAATTCTACACTACTGTCATCAATCATCATCATCATCATCATCATCAATTTAACTATACGCTAACATACCATTTCTACAACATACAATACTTGCACATCACGAAACACCCCTACCGTCTCGTTTTCGACTAAGATAGTGAAAGCCAGCAGCTCAGGGAGTTCACTTAACCGCGACCATCTTTATGCTCAGGTAAAGAAGCATAGCCAATTGGTCTTACTTCTCACCGCGTATCAAAATCTTGAAACCGGCCAGAACGGCTTGCATTGCGTACAACCTTTTCAAGATATAGCCAGCATCTGGGGATCAACCATTGTGTGGGTGCTTTCTTCAGCACCTTCTAATGGTAATAAACTGGAATGAGGATATGATATCAAGACACATTAGAATTAAGGAACTCGGTCATTCACAATGCACCGGTAACAGCAAGGACAGAAATGAATCATAGAAACATTGAAAGACAATAATGAAATCATTTCACCACATGGATAGAAGATTTGTACACAGACTGATGAAGTTTATCCTAGAAATTGAAGGATGCGATAACGGATATGACAATTCCACGCACCAACTATTTACAATTTTCCATTTGAAAGCCCTGGTTTGGTCGAGTTTGAGCAGGATAAAGCTAAAATCTGGATTTCAGTCACGCAGTTAAACATGCAGCCATTACCAGTTAATGTGATGACCAAGAGACCAGCAACGAGAAAAACCAACCAATATATCATTTTGAGTTACCTGGTCTACTCCAGAGAAAGCTATAGATCTCCTAGGTGTATATGCATGGAAATAGAGAAAAATGACAATTTGTTTAATCGTAGCAGAAATTGTTATCTGTTAGTTAGCAAGCAGGAAAAAAGCACTCACTTGGTGAGATGTACCATATCGACTGGTGTCGAAAGAGGCAATGGGTGCCTGGCATTCGAGGAATACTATTTTGTCTCAACTGAAGATAGTGGTGTATCCTGGCCAGAAGGCATAACTGAATTTACTGGCACGGTGGGGTTAAAAGGGTTAGAAGAAGCGTTATTCCCCAGCCCACCACCACCCATGGGTCTGGAAACTGGAGTCATTTGTGCAGAAGCTAATCCCATCGGTGGCCTTGGAAATGCATTCGCAAAGTTCATTGCAATTCTGTTGGCAGCTAGAGCGGGATGGGCAGGTGGTTTAGACGATGATGATGAAGCAGGATAACCAAGGCGAGCTGCGATTATTTGTGCTCGCTCTTGGTAAAGTCTCTGCCTTGACCTGTCCAGTTGCTCCTTTACCCTCAAAATTACGGTGTCCATATCATTGAAGAAAGCCAGCTTCATTTCAAGTTTCTGCAACTGTAACATATTTGAACCACCAAGATGTCAACTTTCCGCACTAAATATAACAGAGATTCTTCGTGACATGGGTTGTGTTTGTTTCAGCTAAAAATACGTAAAAGCTGAAACAAACACATTTAAACTCTATAAACCACATCTCTAAGCGAAACCCAAGCTCCAACTTCACCACTCATAATAGTAATCCCCAAATTCATTCATTTCTTTATAATTAAAGAAACTATCAATCATCACATAGCATACTTTTTAAATTACTAAACATAATAACATATCTCATCGGTGCAAATTTTTCTAAACCCTTATCAAACACAGCTAAAGCAGCCACAGCTGACATACCTGCTTTTCAATCAGTGCTGCAGCCAGCTGGCGGATTTGGTCCTCTTCTTGATCCGCCAGAAGTTTTGCCTTCACAGCAGCTGCTGAAAGTGCAGCTACTCCAGCACGCTTTAGCTTATCAATCTTGCAGCCATCTTTAGACCCTTCACAATCAGACTTCTCCTTCGTACTACTATCTTTCCGGGCCTCCCCTGCAAAGGACATATATGCAAAGCTGAATAAGACTTGTAGACAGGTGGAAAGCCTGTTAGAGCAGCAAGAGAGAGACCTGCAGTTGCTCCATCTTCAACCACTATACTTGTAGAGATTCGTTTCTCATCATCCTCTTCAGGCTTCTCATCATTCTTTCCTTCAGAAGGTTGAGAAGATGTCATGTCAATATCCTCAGTATGAACCTTATCTTCTACTGTCAAACTCGGTTTCACTTGCTCCTGCTTATCATCCTTGTCAACGGGAATAGCATCTGACACAATGTCTCCTACATCTTTTGAGACCTCAGCAGCAGCTTGATCCAGGACTTCACCAGCCAGTGATGTAGAAGATGGTTCAACTTTCTCTGCACTAGACACCACCTCCACATTGTCACCCATCACTTTAACCTGAGGATGATCAACAGCAGAAGATCCTTCTTCTTGCTCCTTCACGGTCACTGGAGAGGAATCTTGCTTCTTCACAGGCTCTGGAGAGGATTCTGACATTGGTTGTGGTTCATGCAATTCCTCCTCCGTGTCGAGTGGTTGGTCCGAAACACTTACTTCCTTTGACACATTAGCTCCACCTCCCTCTTGACTGACTCCAAGACCTACTTCTGTAGTCTTTTCCTTTTCATTGGATTCATCATTTGGAAAATCTACCGATTTGTTTTTGTCTGTGGAAGAAACCTTGTTTTTATCATTATCCAGGTCACTTGCTGATACCAAAACATCTGGATCCGGAGTGGCAGTATTTACTGACTCATTCTTATCATCCTGGTTTCCAATGGGAGCATCATGCTGTTCAGTCTTCTCAGCCACATCACTGCAAAACTCCATATTTATGACATAAAATTCAACCCACAAATGGAAGAAAGAAAATTTTCAAATAGAAAGAAGGTTCACTTACCAATCACCATCTCCTTGTTCTTTTCTGGTATCTGGTGGATCTTCCAAAAGAAAGCAATGTCGTGTTGCAAGCTGCAGTCCGGGAGAACTGCTTGACACTGATTTTAGAGAAATGCGAGCAGAAGCTGAAACAACATCTCCTCCAACCAATCTGACAAAAAATGCTGCCTATAAACAAAAGGTTGTACATTAAGTATTAAATAAAATAATCAAAGCACATGATTTGAGCGAGGGGACAATACGAGCTGCAAGAAACTACCACATTATGTAAATAGAAGACACTAGTTCTTTGCTTACAGCCAACCAGTGACAGTTTCTCTTCTATATATTTTGAACTCACCATAGCCATGACTGGATTTCCAACTTCAGCAAACGATAAGCCAGGACTATATGCATAACCAACAGCCTCAAATGCTTCTGTTAGAGCTCTAAATGCAACATCGTCTTCACGAGTTTTTCCGTCACCAGCATCGGGTTTCGGAGTTTCTGAAATCTCTTTCCCTTCATCAGCATCTGATTTCGCAACTTGAGGAGCGGATTCCTTTCCTTCACTTCCATTCTCAGAAATGTCTTTCACTTCAATGGTATCTTCTGGTTTTGAAGTCTCCATAGGAGAAGTCTGAACCTGGTCCTCTTTTGAGCAAGTTTTAACATTACTGGTTTCAGGGGCAGTTTCATTTGTTGCACTTGTGTCAGCTACTTCCTTCGCCGTGTCATCCACATTGTTAGAATCCAAAAAAGAATCCTCAATTGGCATTTGGACAAAGTGTAAGATACACTGAGCCTTTGTCTTTGTTGCAACATGCTCTGCAATCTCATTCCAGTTTTCTTTATAAATTTCCAATGCCTCGAGAAGAAGCAGGGTCTCTTGATCTGTCCACTTTCCTCCACTGAGCCCATGAGCCTCCGCAGGCTCCATGAGAATAAAATCTGAGGACGACATGTCCGGATCAAACTTCCCATTGTTAAAGCAATCAGCACACAAATCATAATCTGCCTGTTCATACAGATGAATAATCAGAAAGATAAAAAAATAGTGTAATATGAATTGAGTATATTGTCAATAAAATAAACAAAGGATCTAGTACCCAGAAGAAACATACAAGTGTCAAAGCCATACGCCCACAAATGTTCTTATGCTTTTTGACATAAAATAACCGTAAATACCAAATTGGTGGACGCTAAACCTCAGTGACTAAACATGTTAGATAAGTCAGGCAAGATCAAGAAACTAATTCCCATCAAACCCATTGGTGGAATTTATAAAGGTACTACCACTCTTGATGAGGATTGAAGTTAGGGTCTACTATCCTATATCAAATGCTATTCTTCAAACTTGCAATTTCTATCACTATAGCAAAAACGAAGACTCAAAGAGTTTTATGTCGACATTCAATGACATAGGAATGGCGACAGCTAGTTCTCAGCCTCTAATACAGGAATCTGTCATAAAAGGACAGGATTAACCGGTAGTTGCTGAATTCTTAACACAGTTCTATGCTAAAGTAGACAAGTAACAATCATAAACACAGGGAGAAAGAAGAAGAGTTAGTAAGCCAAAGCATTCTGAAGATAGTTTTACTCACCTGCTTCTGACAGTGGTAGCGCTTGCGAGAGCAATCAGCTGAGCAAGAATTACAGTGGTACTCAACTGATGGTCCCTCGGGCTGAAGCAACTCTTCTGCAATTGTAGAATCTGGAAACAATCCTGATGACACAGATGTAGTCGAGGAGCTAGGCTTGGGAGCAACATCTGCACATGATGGAACAGGTCCAAACCGGAATAACTTCTCAAGTAATGAATCGCTTGTCGTTGTTCCCGCATCCTCTGAATTTTCAGAATTATCAGGCATTTGTGGGAAAGGGTGGAAATTAATCAATCCCCAGTAATCCAAGAACTCTAGAACTTCCTGCCTTGCTTCCAAGTCTGCGAATTCAAGATTGGATAAATCTTTTAACTCGATCTGTTCATTTGGGTTCGTGTGGAACTTCTTCATAATCCAATTACGTATCTCCATGTATGTGGCAGGAGTTCGATCAGGAGACTTCCCATTGAAGAAATTTGACAATGCACGCTCCTCAAGAGGATGAACTTTTGTCCATGAAAACCATCCTATAACCAACAAGGGCACAGAACTAAGATTACTCAGAACCACCAAGATTAACAGTCTCCCCCAAAAGTTATCTACAGAGCACATTCACATAAGAAAATATAACAAGAGTTCACTAGAAATTAGAAAATGAGTACGCTAGATTCACATCAACCGAAACAAAAATTAATGAATTTTGCCCTTCTATCAGTCATTCACTACAATGGAGTAGCCCTTCTCCTCCAAATGAACGGGAATTAGCAAATGGAGATGAAATTACTGATATTCTCTAATAGACACAAGCAGAAAGCAAGAAGCTTGTTAAGGAAATTCTGAACCAACCTCAAAATCCCAAACACTCACCGCAGTGATTAGGTACCACATGAGCATTAGAATCCCGAGATCTAACAGCTTCAAACTCCGCCTCAATCTTCTTCCCCAGCTCCTCCAATTTGTTCCGCTCCTCCTCCTCCTCCTCTGCCGCTGCCGCAGCCATCGCCGCCGCCAAACCAACCCTTTCCTTCTCTTCGAGCTTCACGCCGCCAGCAGCCCCACGGCCACCGGAGGAAGAGCCGAAGGTGCTGGGACCATGTCGGGCTGCCCTAGTCAACGGGCCATTGTGAATTTGAGCGAGGGAGAGCGACATCGCCGCTTTCTCTCGGTCCCGGGTCATCCGCTTGGAAGGAGTGGAGGAGGAAGAGGTGGAGGTCGACAGCGAGTTGGCCTTCCTTTTCAGCCCTCCAGCTCGTCGCCGTGACGATGGTGCATCCGCGGATGGCTGTGCATCCGCACCAGGCGTCGCCGCCGCTGGACTGCCCGCCGGTTGGTCCTCCATTTCTCAGTGTTTGATTTGGGTTGCAATTGCAGAGGAGGGTTTTCGGGTCGGACTCAGAAGAGACTGAGGAAGGTATCGGGGAGCAGAGCATTTCCGGTGGGTTGTTGGCTTTTTGCTTTCGATACCTTGAATTCGTTATTAATGCTTCTAGAGAAGGGTAGGAAAGGGATTTCGTCGAACGGCGCCGTTGCATAAGTTACGTAAGGGTCGTTTGACTGATATGTTACACCGTTTGATTTCGATATGATAACCTATGAGATAAAATATTTAGAATAATGTCTATTTTTTATCTAAATTTTTTTAAATTTTTTTATATTATTTAAGATTATTAAAATATTATTAATTAGCTAAATCTTTCGTAATGCATCAAAATATTAGTCATTTTTACGTTATCGTTAATCATTTTGAAACTCATTTCTTAGTTAAAATACAAAACTTTTAGAATGTTGACCTTCATAACGAGCGGAAGTCATGATAAAAGGGCCCGGTCTCGGTCTCTTCCAAGTCAATATTATTAACAAAATTGCTAACTGAAAGTTAATATTTGGCTAATTCTTAGTATTTCGATAGAATTGAGATTTGACTAATAAAAAAAACCAGAAAAAAGTTTGGCTAATAAATAGTCATTACCCAAATATTTATTGGGTTATAAAAGGGAAAACTCAACTCAGTCTAACAGATATTCACTAGTGCCTGGATACTCGTGGGTTAAGAAACACCTACATTGTTATTTCATATATATATATATATATTCATTGTAAGTTAAGTAAAATTAAATGTTATAGTATATCTTGAGTAAGAAAATTATATCTAGACTTTAAATTGACCGGAGTTTGGGACATGGGATTGTACCATAATCCTTAAAGATGAATATCTGGGTCTTTAGTTCTATAAATCTCATACGCTAAAATCAATTTGATTAGAAATAACAATCGACAGTCACAAGTCGCCAAAATATAGGCAACAAATTACATGCACCATTTTGGGGTTTAAGGTATATGATTTATATAACTAATATCTAGGGTTCACTCAACAAGAGTTAGGGTATAGACGTATAGTATCATACTCCAGTTTACGGTCAATCAAGGTCTGTATATAATTTTCGTACTCAAAGTAAGATATAGTTGTTTCTATCGTACCTTGAGTAAAATCAAAGGTAAGTATATCTTGAATAAGAAAATTATATAAAGATTACACAACAAGAGATGGCGAGGTCGTGTAGAGAGGCAACGTTAGGGATGACGGAGGTCGGCGAAAAGGGTTTGTTGGTTTCAAGTAGAGCTGTCAAAATGTAACCCGACCCGAGTAACCCGCCCGATCAACCCGACCCGCAACCCGCCCGCAACCTTATTTGACTAAAAGTCAATGACCGGTAACCCGCCAGACCCGCAACCCGATCAACCCGCAACCCGACCAACCCGCAACCCGATCGACCCGCAACCCGACCAACCCGCAACCCGACCAACTCGCAACCCGACTAACCCGAACCCGTAACCCGACCAACCCGCAACCCGACTATAATAGAAGGAATTCGATGAGGATAAACCAAAAGTTGACATTTGAAATTCTAGTTCACTAAAGTATGATCATTACATCATCAATTTTTAACTTAGTATAATAATATACATCATCAACCTATTAACACATATAATATCATCAAATATTGATTTAGATAAATCATCAACCTAATAGTGCACATAACATTATAAAATATTAATTTAGCATAATAAGATAATTATAAGATTTAAGTTGCTTATTTTAGTTGGTGTATAGGGTATATAATGAGTGTAATGGGTTAGGATATAAGGTATTAATATTTTAGGCACGATTAGTCAAAAACTCAAAATAATAACTTATAACTAATAAGGATCGAGTTTTTTATTACACGTGTTCATGAATCAAACCATTGGGGGTTTAGGGTATATAGACTATAGAGTCGATGTATAGGATATATGGTTAGTCTAATGGTTTAGGGTATAAGGTATTAATGGTTTAGCAATTATTAGTCAAAATCACAACTAATAAGATCAACTTTTCTTATTAACACATGTTCATCAATCAGAATTCAGATCATTAGGGGTTTAGGGTATAGGTTATAGAGTCGGCTTATAGGGTATATGGTTAGGGTATAAAGTCTTAATGATTTGACCACGGTTAGTCAAAATCATAACTAATAAGATCAACTTTTCTTATTAACATATGTTTATGAATCAAACCAGTAGGGGTTTAGGGTATAGGTTATAGAGTCGACTTGTAGGGTATATGGTTAGAGTATATGGTATTAACGGTGTGGTGAGTGATTTGGGTGGAGACAATGACATTCAGTTTCTGGAGGACAAAAGTCCATGGGGTACTGGAGCTTGCTTCTGCCTTTATAGTCTCCTAAAAATAAAATAAAATAAAATGCTAAAATAAAAGATAAAAGGGAGGACTTAGGATGGCGGGGCACCCGCCAAGACCCGTCAATAATTCCCACCTGTAATGTTTCCCCAAAATTTTGCCCCCCCCCCATCTTTGAGTCTTTGACTTTGAGTAGTGATTCTTTTTTTTTTACAAGTATTGTGCTAGCTTCATATAGTTACGATTTACGACTTACTAGTAATCACTAAAAACTAACCACTATAGGAAAACCCGTTTTCAGTCAGGGGATCTTATTCATGGGAATGTTTCCCGTACTAAGAAACATACTAGTAAACACGATAAAAATTTATATACTTAATTGCATAGTTCTTATCACGGGAATTAATTTAAGAACTTTTTAGTCTTCATTTCCCGTGAATAATTGTTAGTCACGGTTAATTACCATGAACAATATGACTTACAATTACTCACAATTAATTACCGTGAACAATGGGATACTTCATTTTTTCAAATTTTACATAAAAATTAAGATAAATTAAATATATTATGGAGGAAAGAAAATTAAGTAAACTAAACAAAATATTCATACTAATAAATCACAGAATTAGTATTGGTGGACTTTTAAATGGGTGATTCAGCAAAAATTGGTTTCCCAAAATTTCACACGGAATCTCCCGCATTTTCTTCCCTCCTGCACATTCCCAAATTTTGCCTACCGAAATTTTTGGGCTCTAAGAATTCCTAAAATTTTTGCTCACACCCGCAATTTCCTAGCACATAAAACCAAAAGTGCGCCTTCTAATTACCCTTTACCCCGCCTCGATTCACTTTCCCCACTCTCTCCCGTCTGTTCTTTCTTCATAGACGTGGAGTTAAGCCTACCCTCTAACACAGTGGCGGACCCAGAAATTTTATATAGGGGTGTCCTCTTTTAAAAAATAAATTAAATACAAATAATTCTAAAATAATTAATAAATAATAAATAATATTTAAATAAGAAATACTTTACTCATACAGTTTGAAAAAATTCACAATGTGTTTTCATATTAAAAAATGATTGTAGAACACACTTGGGGTCTACACTATTCAAAAAAAAATTGTCTCTGTATATCATATTAGACAATCATTCACGAACTGATCACATATTCAATTTCTAAACTTGTTTGTGATGTAATCCAAAGTTGAAAAGACTCTTTCAATACTTGTTGTACAACCATAAATCAATACAAATTAAGGGTAGCTTGAAATTTGTTTAATTGTTAGATTTTGAAAATAATTAGAGATAGAGAATGACATTATACTATTACACAGTGTTTAAAATCAAATAACATATGAGTTGTAGCCTAATGAAAATTTTGTTTATTAATAATAAAAGTGTCCTAGGTTTGAATTACCCAAACTATGACTTATATTCTCATACTCAAACTAAAAGATGAGAGTAGGATAATCACTTTTTTAAATTTAGGGGTGTCCCCGACTATCAATTATAATTTTTTTTGTCAATACGTAAATTACTACCGGGGGTTGGATAATCGTTTTCCCAAAATTTAGGGGTGTCCGGGGACACCCCTAAACAGCCGTGGGTCCGCCCCTGCTCTAACACCCAGCAGTGCACCCACCGCCACCGCTCTGCACTGCCACTGATTCCTCCTCCTTCTCCAATCCCGCAACTCCTCTGCTTCTGAAACTCCTCTTTTTGCATCCGCCGCCCTTTCCTGAACTATCAGTGTCCGCTACCGGAACCCCTCTCCTCAAGATCCATTGTCATTTTTCGTCCACTTTCTGAATTAGGTCATTCAATTCTTTGAATAAGTTGCAGGGTTTATTCCTACAGCAAAGGTGGAACTGGGTTTGCCATACCGGACAAGACAGAGTACGTTCGAAGATGCTTCAGTGGTTGGTGAAGTGAAATGCAAAACAATGATACAGCTTCCTTCATCATTAGTTCGCTTGAGCTGAAAGGTATAAGACATGATTATGAAAATGGTTGGGAGTTAGAAGTATGGATTGAACTTGTGGGATGTGCAAGGTATGTGATCTCTTTGGACTTTGTTTGAACTGTTATTCTCCCTCTTTGAGTAATTAGAGGTTTCAGAAGGACTTTACTAGAGTTACATTTTGATCTGCAGGGGTGATCACGAGAGTAAAAAGAGTGCATGAACTTTATCAATAGACATAGTTGGGGAAGATAACCCAAAGCATTTATGATCTGTAATGAAGACCGTCTTTATATTTCAGTATATAAGCTGACTTGCACATCCTACTGATGAGGATCTCGATGTCTTCAGTCTATTAGTTTTCCTTTAGCTGCCTTTGGTTTTGTGGTTTATTTTGAAGCTAAAATTATTACTCTTGCTTTAGATGTTCAGTTTTGTTTTCACAAGCTCAATTTCCCTTCAACTTTACAAATTAAGGAGCACAGGTGTATGCATCCACAATCATATGTGTATTGACCCCAAGGTAAAAACAAATTTGCTGCTTTTAAGAAACCCTGTTTACTGGATTATATTAAGCAATAGCAGCAACAACGAATTTGTCAAAGCAATTGCTTTTCTATGTATAGGGATTTTGATTCAGTTTTTCATTTTCTAGGCCTGCACTTTGGTTGGTAACTGGCTTGTTCATTCTATTTATAGGAACAACTACAATAGGAGCAACACTTTAGAGGCTATGAAGTGTGTACGTAGTCCCTACTTTATGAACAATTTGAGTAAGTCTTTTTAAGTCTCTGTTTAAGTTTCCAGCTTCTTTATCCATGTTGGGTTTAATTGACTTGTCATTGAGGGCTGAAATTTTTATTGTTGTTCTTGGCAGATACAAGTACAACAGCAGCCAGCAGGATGCTTCAGATGAAGTCCATGACCCTTTTTTTTTTTTTTGCTAGAAAGATAAAATTCCAAAAGTTAACTCTAGATAGACAATCTTAATGTTGTTTGTAATACAATACAATAAAAGTAATTATTAGTTAGTTTATGGAGGAGAACTATTTATTACTATGATATATATTGTAATATTATAGAATTATTTATATAATATCTGAAACTTCTGATTGATGATAATAATATTTTTTTGTTCTTACTTGATGGCAAGAGATTTTGTTATTGGTTGTAATTAGTAATGACAAAAATTAATAGCTAATCTCTTATAGATATTGTATACCGTGACTGGTGGACTGGTGGTTGTAATTAGCTTTAGTCAAATACTGTGACTAGTGGTTAGTATCTAGTCACGGGGGATCCAATCACAAGTAGTAAATATCATGATTAGTGATTGACAACTAGTCATGGGAAGTGATTAATCACGGTACATATAACTAGTCACGGTACACCATTAGTCACGGAGGTTTATATTATGGTAATTTTTCCGTGACTAGAATTATTAGTCACAGGAAACATGCTTTTAAATACGGGATTTCCGGTGATTAAAGTACCTTTTTCTTGTAGTGTAACGCGATGTTCTGGTCCGTAAAACCCGTAACCCGTCCGACCCGATCCGCAACCCGATTGACCCGCACCCGATTGACCCGTAACCCGATTGGCCCGCAACCCGATTGACCCGCAACCCGAGTAACCCGCAACCCGACCAACCCGCAACCCGATCGACCCGTAACCCGACCAACCCGCAACCCGAGTAACCCGCAACCCGACCAACCCGCAACCCGATCGACCCGTAACCCGACCAACCCGCAACCCGAATGAACCCAGCCCGAACCCGCCCGATTGACACCTCTAGTTTCAAGGCATTGTACTATGCATGCACTACGTGAAATCGTATTCGTGGTCCGACTGAGAGAACCTTCTATCGAAGTATAAATCAATTTTTAGCTCTATGAAACTGTTAAACCATGACTAAACTTCAATTTGAGCATAAAATTTCTTACTACGGATTTTCCAATATAATGATACTGTTTTACGCCCCTTTGGGAGAAAAAAAAACCCGGATAAATGCCACATTTGGTCACTGAGATTACTAAATCATGTCATGTTTAGTCACTAGAAAATTTTAATATCAATTTGGTCACTCGAATTACTGGAACAGATCACATTTAGTCACTCTCTCAGTACTTTCAGTCCAACTTCATTAATGGATTTGGACGGAAACTAACGGGAGAGTGACTAAATGTCACATGTTTCAATAATTCGAGTGACTGGAGTTGGACGGAGGCTAACAGAGAATGACTAAATGTGACCTGTTTTAGTAATTCGAGTGACCAAAATTGATATTAAAATTTTATAGTGACTAAACATGACACAATTTAGTAATTTTAGTGACCAAATGTGTCTCTGCAATTGTTTGGTTTAAAGATAATATAAATTTTATCAAGGGGTAAATATCTCAATTTAGAGCGTTTTAGGACAATAAAATTTGAATTTTAGGACGACGAATAACGATTCAGGAAAAAAAAAACTATCAAAGCGGCGTACGTTAAAAATCAGAGCTGCTCTGGCCACCACAATAAAGACTAGGCGTTCTTTCGTACTTACAACTTGAGCCATTACTTCTCTTCAATGGTCTGTCTAAACTAGTCCATGGTAATTCTTAAACTTAACCACCATTGAGATTCCACACTTTGGTCAACCGATCATTCTCCACATACGAACTGGAAGATGTTCCTGCTAGCAGCTGGAGTTACAATGTCGTTGCTCTGCTTCCTGAGCATGTTCTCTTGTGCATGGAAGTCACCGTACTGGGCAAGAAGCAAATGCCAAACAATGAGCTTCAAAAAATAGGGCAATTTTCCAGGTTCCCTTCAAGAATTGTAGAGGAGTACTTACAAGAGACGAATAGGCCCGAGCAAGAGAGAGGAGCGTCGGGTACAGATCAAGAACAGCCATGGCAGCCTCCTCCGTCACTTGCGAAACCTGTACAGGACCAATCTTGGTGCTTCTTACTACTTTTGTCAATTACATTCGGGGGTGGATTGCTTGGCTAAAGGAAAGAGAATCAATGTACCTGCATCAGCTGATTAGCAAACACATCACTGATGGTCATCTTGTCAAGTTCTTCACACCTCTTGACGAAATCGCGATAGAGTGGGCAGGTACCACGCTGCTGGGATCGATCACAAGTTGACAGCAACCGGTAATATCGAGAAATGGACTTGGTGAGATAGCCGTACTTCTTCAGTGTATCAAGTAAACTGGTAGTTCTCTGGATATCAAAGCCCTCCAGAATCTCTGTCGTAAAACAACTGCAAGGGTAGGGTAGCAGGAAATTCAATGTAAAAAAAGGAGTGGAACACATCGTAGCATCATTTTAATCTATAAACAGTAAGAAACCAGTTTGCAACAAATGGATTTCAATGGTTCTTTTTTAGAACTGTGCTAGCTGAAAACAATAGTCGCTTACGCTGTTTTTATGCTATCAGCTCCCTCACAAGAGTTGGGATCGCCTTCAACCAGATACATCAGCTTCTTAAGCCCACATCTCTGCAAATAACACTGTGTTTTTAGTTACGTTGTTGTCAAAATAAGAGAGCCAGAGAAATCAATAAATTGGTGCGCCCACAGTGGTTGAACCAAAGTTAACTGAACAACAGATTGGGATTAGTACACAGCTCGACCAGAGTACAGTAACTATACCAGCGAAAAGAAAGATGTGTACCTGAAGCCTCAACTTCTGGTCTCTATAGCGATGTTCCCTAATCGATGACCGCAAATCGTCAACATTTTTCCGCTCGACAACGAAATCAAGAACGTATTCATCAAAATGATACTTGTGGTGAGCTAGCCAGATTGCATCCCCAACTGGTAACCGCCTGACCTGAGGAATAGCCCATTTGTGTAAAAACTACTGAAGGGAACACCAAATGTTACTATACTACACATGTAAATGTATCCTCCAGGCACAAGTGATCACAAATGAATAGGAAACCGTGATCTTCATCTTAAAATGCAATCTAACATCAAAGAAATGAACCAGAAACAAAAAGCTTTCCAAGATGTCCATGAACACAAACTGCAGTGCTGCTCCAAGGAAATTTTTTAGAAAAAGAAATTTGGTCAAGGGACAAGTAACTCAAGCTTTCACATCTTTGATAGAGAGGAGGCTAACCCAGAAGGCAGCTCTTGTGGAATAAAGCTTTAGAGTTTAGATTTAATCCTCTCTAGCATACAGGATTTCAATGATTCCAAGAAACAAGTAAAAATCGACAAGAGAGTTTCTGGCATAGGACGACAACAACAGCCTATTTGACTGAACTCCAACATAATTTGAGAAATCTTTGAAGGAAAAGAAAAGGTTTAAGGATCAAACTCTCCTACCTCTACTTTTATTCTGTGCTCCTTGCACATCCCATCAATAAGTTTCTTGCCTCTTGACCTGTAAACTACAGATTATGTTAGTATGACCAACCAAATCAACAGTAGATTCTCACGTGATCAACAAACTTAACTATTTCAATAGAAAGCATACAAAATAATCTTCTTTTCCCGCTTATGAGTAATGAACATGTTTTCATAGTAGCAGCAAGGTTGACAGAACCGACAGAACTACCAAATGAAGAAGAGGCAGGGCAAGGGTGCTTTGGCTTCAAGTTACTCACCCATGGGTTGCAAACTGCTCACGGTCATCTAATACAAGGAGGACTTCATACAAATCCTCAAACCTCTCCCCAACGCCAAGAGGAGGCATGCTTAAAACACTCATGTTTTGTTGAGCGACCTCAGAACTTGACAATTTCTTTGTACAGTCCTACAAGAGGATGTCGTTAGCATTCAGTAACTGTTAATTGGGGTGCCTACCTGCTTTTGTGGATGGGAATTGGGATTGGAATCCGAAAAGTCAGGTAGCTAATAGAAAATGTCAAATAAAAAGGTGCACAAACATTTGATGAGCAAGCTTGCAGATTTAATGAGGCAGTTGTAGAACAAGCATCGACATTATTACTGCGATCCCAATCCATTTGACTACTTCGACTGCCACAAGTACCAACCTGACCTGGACATTTGTAAAAAGGCCCATCACTTGAGGAAAGCCAATTCTGATCCCAAATGTGATTGCTAAAGGAGATAAAAGGGACCTTATTACCTTGGGAATAAGTTGGAGTAGTTGATTCTGCTTGGCAATCATTTCCCAGGGTTTGAGACTCTGAGTTTGGGCCATAAGTTTGTTCTTCTCGAAGACGACACAGGACCGCTGGCCAGAGTGAAGAGATATCCTTCTGACCAGAAGTTCTCGACACTTCAATGAAGGCATCAAAAACTTGTTCCTTGGAATAACCCATATGCAGAAACTGCAAAACAGTTGAAGCATAGCTAAGTCAAGGAGATTTACAATTGAAAAAAGTGATTCTGGTAACCAGCAATAACCTATACCACTAAAATAAAATAATAAAAAACTTAAAAGGCCGTTGTAAAGAACAATACAAACATGAAAAAATTTGGTACTTGCGGTTGTTCATCCTTTAGAGCAAAAGAAAAGAAGTTAAGAGCTGCAAGAAATTTTACCTTTTCAAAGGATTGAGGAGGAAGATCAAAAGATCTCTCCTGTTGAGTCAAGTTCACAGATAGAATAGTAACTTCAGGAGATGAAGTAGGCTGAATCGATTCCTTATCTGCTGTATTGCGAATGTCCAAATTTGAAGAATCCTTTGCATGAGCTGAAGTCTCCATAGGGTCCAGCAGGCGAGATCTCACCAGACATTCCCTCGCTACGTCTTGTCCTTCCTGTGTTATTGTGTACCTGCAAATGGATGAAGTGTGTTTCTAACAAAGGAGTGTAAAAAAGAAGAAGCAAGCAAATGAATTACTAGATGACTGTAGAATATCAGAGATCTAAGGTGATTTTCTTGCTGAGCTTGTAGTCCCCTTAAATATAAGGAACTACACATGAATCAGAACTGATAGCAAACCAGCGTGTTAAGTTTTTATTCAAGTCCGCACACCATCCAAGGGAAACAAGGATCATTCTTTTAAGTTTGACTGGGAGGCCAATTGCAGAAACAGCGCCAACTTTGTGGTTAGTACTAAATTTGCAAGCAAATAACTACCAGATTGCCCCAACAAGCTGTCCGAATATGGTAGACCAGTTCTGGCACATTTTACCAGGACAACAAGCCACTAATGGAAGCAGTTCAGCCTCAACTGGGGTAATAAGAGCTGCAATAAGGGCACAAACTGCTTAAGAGAGAGTAGTGCACCAGGAGGTCATACCCTTCTGACATTTCCTGAAATTTGAGGCTTCTAGATGATATAGTTTCACAAATTTCCGTTAGGACAACAATCCTCTGATTTAAAATGAATTATGTTGTGCCATAAACATGAACTTCAAATGGAGGCGGCGTGCCTATGGACATATTAGGAAAACTACATGCTATTGATGCAAGTAGCAAAATTCACTACTGCCATACTTTGCAGGGCAACTCGATTTGACGACTAATTCTTTGGCTATCAATGTCTTCATGCAGCTCCATCCGGAGTACAAGTCCCTTGGGGAACTTCCAAATCGTGTTGGCTTCCCTTTTCCCTTTTCTGGACTGGTAAAGAAAAACCAGTCAAACCCATCAATTTTCTTCCTAAAAGTTCGAGGAAGGAAATTATAGAACATGCCATTAATATACTGTAACTACTTACGCTATTGGCACCCGAGAAAGTCCACTTGCTTCAGCTGCATCGATCAGCTCCTGCTTACGCATAAACTCCTCGCCATTTGTAGTCCCCCTAATTGCAAAATCAAAGAATCCAAATGGTTGGACAGGGCAAACAGGCACACAGGACGAGATGTATAAGAACTTTTGAGAAAGTGTAACATTCAATTACCTGTAAAGTGTGATCAGTAATGCATATGCTACGGAATTCTTTTGGGGAACATAACGTTTTTTGGCACTAGCCTTCTTTGCTATTTAGAGCAAAAGAACTTTGATCAAGTATCAGTATGAGTCAGCCACTTGCAGTTCTTAACAGATGCGGCTATTGTTACCTTTTCCAGTCAAGTTCTCGGGTTCAGGGCTTCCAGCATCACTATTGCAACGTCTCATCGGCTTCACCATCGTAGTACAAGAACCCCCACAAGAAAACAATTGGAAAGTGATACGAAAAATATCAAGGTAGTGCAATAGTGACTCCCCCAAGCCTAGTAGTGTTATATTATTTTCCTGAGGAATCCATCACTTACAGTTATCAACCAAAAGTTCCTAAGTCGTCGACCGTCAAGCGAATTTTGGTACAGGCAGACTTCTACCTAGCAAAGAAAGCTTAGCTGAGAGTTGGTCAAGTTGCTACAGTTTCAGCAACAATCCAGAGCTAGAGCACCAGGGGAAAGAATGTTGTTCCTGCAAAAGGAACATAACTAGCGAGTTAAGAGCCTATCAATCCTTCAGAAGAGAGCAATAGTCTTGAAAGAGGAAGAGCTGGCATTGGAGGATGTTATCGGGGGCCTGCAGTTGCTGCTTTCGCTGAAACTTTCAGCCACCGCTAGCCCACTATAGCCGCCATGAAAATGACTAGAAACGAAACTTACTAACCGTAACTCGGTCGACTTACAACGAGCATAGACAGTACATATCAAACCATTCACATATGCTCTCAATCTAGTTCTGAACCAAAGCTGATCGCAACCCTAACTCAAACGCACAGAAGTCGATTAAAAAAAACAGGGAGATGGAGGCAAACCATAATGAAGCTGGACTGACCGGTAAGATGCAACTGGCGGATCGAGATGACTTTGGAGTTTGCCCTTGATCTCCCCTCCAAGCGCCTTTTCTTCCCTCGCCGATCTTCAGCGAAACCCTAGCGCCATTTCTTTCTTGCTTAATCTTATTGGTGGGATTGATTGAAAATGAAAACTGCTGTGGAGGTGAAGGAGGAGGAGGTCAATTTGGAGGAGCCGGTCAGTGGAGCAAATCCGATGAGACGCGAATCGAGTTCCGAGAGGGAAGAAGAGCAGTAAGTAAGAATTTGGGAAACTGAAGTGTGGAATTTCAGCGTCCCTTTAGCCTTCTGAAAGTCCGACTTGTTCCGTTGGCGGGAAAAGTTGTGTACCCGAAGTTGGGATAGTGCACTGCTTTCCAATTAGGGATGGCAACAAAACCCGAACCCACGGGTACCCACCCGACCCAACCCGGCAACGCGGGTAAAACCCGTGTTGACGGGTTTTGAGCCGGGTTCGGGTTTAAACCCGCTACACTATTCATCGGGTCGGGTTGGGTTTGGGTTTAGGTAAACCCGCCACATGGGTACCCGCCCACACATATAATTACTTTCCCGGTATATTTAATATTCTAAATAATATATCTTCCTTAAACAACTAATATTCTATATGTTTGTGGAGACATATATAATTTGTTTTTTCTAATTGTTTAGAATGAAGTTGATATTATGAAGTGGAGAGTGAAGAAACTTAGTTGACGAGGAAGAAGTTTTCAATTAATCTTATTGTTTATATATGTTTATCTTTAATTTTGAACAATTTGTATTGATCATTTGCGGTTTGTTTGTATGCTCTAGATTGGTGTTTTTTGTATGATTAATTTGTATGAGAAAATTGATGTTAAACTTTTATTTTGAAAGAAACTTGTTATTGTAAATTTTTACCACAAAAACCCACGGGTACCCATGAACCCGCGGATACCCAGCGGGTTGGGTTGGGTTTGAGTTTTTCAAACCCAACGGGTTTTACCCCGGGTTTTTTTGGCAGATAAACCCATGGGTTTGGGTTTGACAAACCCGCCCCAACCCGACCCATTGCCATCCCTATTTCCAATCGAATTTCATTTTCTTAATCGTGTAGATTAAATCATATTTGTTTATTTCTACTTACATTTTCTTCATTTTAACGCCATATAAACTAGGACCCGGTCCGTTGGCCAAGAGAATTTTGTCAAAAAATATGATATATAATATAAATGATATAATAGATGATTTAAAATGCATGAAATGATTGTTTGCACCTTAATGCACAAAAGTGATCCAACTATGCATAATGTGTTTAGACATCTATAAAAAAAAGTATGGTATAAGCATTACATGTAATTACTGAATGAAAAAAGAAATAAATAAACCAATTGTCATTCGTTGTTTAATTAAATCATATAGTTGAATATTAGAGTTTCTTCTCATAATACATACATAATCAACATTTAGGATGAAAGAAAATATATCTCATAGAGTTTAGTATGTCATTTAAGTTCTTTTCCAATAGAGAGCATTCATTTTTATCACACAGTTGGTAATGAATCTGAAATTGCTTGATTAGAAATATATAAAACATTATGTTAAGTTTTCGATAATAGTTAGTTGAACAATGTATTGTGTACGGACTTCCCAAATTACTCTCAGAACACAAACGTGTCTAGCAACAATGCAATAATTTTCACTGTAGCAATTTTTTTTTTCATGAAGTCATTCAATAAATAAAAAACCTATGAAAAATCATATTATATGAAATATATATTACTCATTAAATTGATGAATGAGCGAGGATAAGAGTAGCATACACTTATTTTAAAAAGATATAAGTTGCAAAGTGTCATTTGTGTTGAATGAGATCGCATATTCTCGTTATCACTAACTCACTTATGCTTTTTTGCAATAGATTTTTCAAAATGTGTCTTAAAAATTTTATTTCCACCAGTGTAAAAGAATTATTTGAACCAAATTATTGTAAAATTGTATAAAAAAGTTGGTAGTAGAGTATTTTATACCGAAGTCATAATTTAACCCATGGTTCAACCGTTTTATATTGCTAAATATCACCTACCAATTTAACATATGGTGTGAAGTTTTATGGTCGAACCACCGGTAGGTACGATCTTTCAATTCAAACTTTAAAAAAAATCACTAAAATGTTGACATTATCAAATACCCCTTAAATCTCATAAATTACAATAATCATATTAAGGAGAAAAATCATCCAAATGATAATATTGATTCAGGATTTATAGAAATGAAAAAAATCTGTCAAATATAATGTCATCTCCTAAAATAAATCAAAACTCAACAGAAGAGGGCTAACAATACCCTATGAGCAAACGAGAATGACAATTATTTCCCACTACATCATTTTCTCCCTCTTTTAAATGTGTTCTCTTACTCTCTTTTTGCCGTCCTCTTTCTTTTTCCATTTGTTCTTCCATCTCTCTCTCTCAATTTTGTATCTCACCACTCTCTCTCTTCCCTTACTCTTTCTTCCCACCGCCTAGAATCGAGAGAAATCGAGAAACGTCCCAATTACTTATCGAATTTTGCGTTCGAAATGTTTCTTCTACATTCACAGTCTATTGTGTGAATCGGAGCACCTGAAACCAGGCGAATATTTAAGCGTTTATGCCTCGACGGAGCAAAGTAGTAAGGATTAGGTTAAACAAATAAAAGAGATATGATCCGTTGAAAATTTAAGAGAGAAAATTAGTAAGGATTAGGTTAAACAAATGACCCTTCCGTGTAAATGACTAGTATCTTCTGTACCAACATCTTGAAATCTCTCATATTATTATCATTAGTTGATTTCATGAGTTTGTAATTTGTGTTATATGAGCATATCTTACTCGGTAACTTTCTAATTGTGAGTGGCAAATATAGCATGGATTATAGCGTGCACTACTAATATGCAAGTCTTCTCTAACATCACGATATGTGAGAAGTCAGCTTACAAAGGAAGATGGCTCTAGACAGTTTGAAGTTAAAATTTATAGAAGCCTAATATATAAGACGCTTGTTGTATCTACGTGCTTGCTAGCTCAAACAAAGATTCACTATAAGACAACTGACAACTCGAATACTATTAAGGTACATTAAGGATTTCATTGATCATGCTCTGGTGTTCAAAGGAGAAAGGAAGTGTGTCTGTAATGTTATTGTGGCCGTGACAGTCACAGTGTTGGATATTCAAAGGACATGAATGAAAAAACATATATATATTTACTTTTGCAATTAGATCAAAGACGTTTTGTTGGAGTTCAAAGTGAAGAGGAACTTGTTCCTGAAGTTACTCCATTTCTGTTAGTTGTTGTTAATAGGAACGTTGCCCACTATAAGCAGTTCCTTATTTCACTCCATATATGTCGCAGCACTCTGCTGCTCTCCTGTATTATATATTTGATGATTGAATAATAGAAACACCAAGTCAAGTCTTGGGTTTTCATGGTATCAGAGCCCATAGAACTCTAACGAGTCAGTTCCCTCTTCTTCTTTCTTTTTCGCCCAGCTCTTCTTCTTCTTCTTTCTTCAAACCCAGAATGGCTACTGAATCATCTTCTTCATCCTCTGTTTCTTCTTCCTCTCCCTCCGGCGACACCATTTCCTTGCCGGCCCTCTCCATATCTCTGCCCGCAAATCCTCAGCTTTCGATTAAGCTTACCCCAACGAACTATCTATTATGGCATGCCCAAATCACCCCGCTTCTGCGTTGCCATCAATTGATGGGTCATGTCGATGGTACTCTTGCTGCCCCACTGCAATTTCTCAATGGGCAACCCAATCCAGCTTACTGGCCCTGGTATGTGCACGACCAGTACGTCCTTACCTGGATCAACCTGTCTCTCTCTGAGGCCGTCTTACCCAACGTCATCAACAAAACAACCGCTTCCGATGCTTGGACTGCGCTGGCCACCATCTATGCGTCTGGCTCTCATATTCAAATTCGCCACCTCAACAAAGCGCTCCAGCAGATTCGCCGTGGCACCGCTTCCATTCACGATTATCTTCAGGATGCGAAGGCTAAAGCAGACCAATTGGCCGCTCTTGGTTCCCCTGTTCCCGCTGCCGATCTCACTCGATGGATTCTTGACGGTCTAGGCGAGGAATATCGGCCCTTTGTGCGGCATATTGGAGCTCGTATGGAACCAATCAGTTTTGAGAATTTGCACTCGCTTCTCCTGAGCGAGGAGCTTCAGATTCAGCGATATGCTGCTCGATCTGACTCACCGGCGCCGACGGCCTTCTACTCTCACGCTGGTGGCTACCGCGGCCGCGGCGGTCGTGGAAGAGGCCGTGGATACGCACGTGGTCATTTTTCCCCTAACCCACCTGTTGCTTCTTCTTTTTACAGGCCGCCTTCACCTGGTGGGTTGCTTGGGCCTCGGCCCAGTGGTATCATCTGTCACAATTGTGGGGGTCGTGGCCACATAAAACCCTATTGTCCAAGCCCAGTTCAAGCATCTTCCTCGGCCCATCCTGTCCCTTACACTACTCCAGCCCCTGTTCACACCTCGGCCCAATCTTCTGCAGGCCCACACACCATGTTTGCCTCCTCCCCCGCTCAACCATTTAATCCGTCCCAATGGCTGCTGGATTCGGGCACAAACCATCATCTCACATCAGACTTAGACAATCTTGCACATCATTCGGAATATAACGGGACCGATCAAGTTCTTTTTGGCAATGGTAACTCTCTTCCCATCTCTCGTCTTGGTTCTTCCATTACTTCTTTATCCGATACTTCTATTTCGTTGGATAACATTCTTCATGTGCGTCATGCCCCATATAATCTTCTCTCGATCAGCTCTCTTACTCGTTCTAATCCCATTTCCATTGAATTTTTTGACTCTATGTTTCTCATAAAGGATCGACGCACGGGGCGTGAACTTCATCGAGGCTATGCGGTGGACGGTCTCTATTCCCTTCCTCTTAATATTTCCCGCAGCCTCTCTCCTGTTGCTTGTGCCGCCTCCTTCGACATTTGGCATCGTCGTCTTGGGCATGCTCATGAACGAGCCGTAAAACATCTTCTTCATCAACATCAAATAAAGTTTACACCGTCATCTTCCTCTTTGTGTCATGGTTGCGCTGTTAGCAAAATTCATAAACTTCCTTTTTTCCCCGTCCACCCTTCATGTCGATGCTCCTCTTGAACTCGTTTGTAGTGATGTATGGGGCCCTACTCCTATTTTGTCGTACGATGAGCAATCTTATTACATTCTTTTCTATGACCATTACAGCAAATTCTCATGGATTTATTTTGTTCGATATAAATCTCAACTCCTCAATGTCTTCGTTCAATTTCGTCAACTAGTTGAGAAGTATTTTGGACTTCCCATCAAGTCTTTTCAATCAGATTGGGGTGGTGAATACCAAGCTTTATCTACTTATCTCTCTAAAAATGGAATTGCTCATCGATCCTCTTGTCCTTATGCGCCTGAGAAAAACGGCTGTGCTGAACGTAAACATCGCCATATCGTCAATAATGGGCTTGCTCTTCTGCATCATGCCAGTGTTACTCTTCGATACTGGCCCCTCGCCTTTGACACCGCGTGCTACCTCATTAATCGCACTCCCACTCCCCTTCTACATAATGATTCCCCCTTCCACTTTCTATTTCGTCGCTCTCCCGACATAGCCAATCTCCGTGTTTTTGGGTGTCTCTGTTACCCTTGGCTTCGCCCTCTCACCTCAAACAAATTATCCCCTCGTTCTGTTCCATGTGTTTTCTTAGGGTACAGCAAACTCCACAAGGGTTACCGTTGCCTACACATTCCAACAGGCTGAATCTATATTAGTCGGCACGTATTGTTCGATGAGACTTGTTTCCCCTTTGCCTCTGTATCCTCTGTACCCTCACCCTCTTCCCCTACACTCTCGGCCCCTCCCATCAATTTGCCCGCTCCACCAACCCAATCTTCTATCTCCACCACCCATCCCAATTCCTCCTCTCCGGCCCGCTTTGACTTCAATTGGGCTATTCCTCCATCTGAGCCCACTCACCCATTTCAGCCCACTTCCTCTCCCCAGCCACTCACCGATCCAAACCCACCCGGCCTGTCGACCGATTCCCAACCACCCGATCCACCTCAGCCCTCGTCCACATCACCTCCGCCCATCCTGTCCTCCCCTGCTTCCCCACAGCCGCTTCTCCAATATCAGCGCCGCCGTCCCAATCCCCGCCCCCTGTCCCTTCCTCATCTGTTCAGCCAAATATCTCTCCCCTAAACGTTCCCAAACCCACCCCGCTACCTCCTCGCCGCCCACACCTCAAAAGGCCTCCCTTTAACACTTCCCCACGCCCAATTCCTGTCACCAACCCCACAAATTCCACTCATCCCATGACCACCAGAATCAAAACAGGCAATCTAAAGCCTCGTGCTCTTATTTCACAACTGCATATAGATGATACTCCCACCACTGTGACCCAGGCTCTCAAGCACCCCCAATGGAGATCGGCCATGGCTGATGAAGTTAATGCTCAACTACGCAACCACACGTGGGACTTGGTTCCTCGGCCACCAGGTTGTAATCTCCTCTCCAACAAATGGGTTTATCGTACAAAGCTTCATCCCACTGGTCAACTGGACAGGCGTCGTGCCCGTCTTGTCGCTCGAGGGTTCGAACAAATACCGGGTCTGGATTTTCATCAGACATATAGCCCGGTCCTGAAGCCTGCTACGCTTCGACTCATCCTCGGTCTTGCCGTTACTCAGAGTTGGCCCCTCCATCAAATCGATATAGCTAATGCATTTTTACATGGTGAGTTGCAGGAGACTGTGTATATGCAACAGCCCCCTGGTTTTGTCGATCTGGATAAACCAGATCATGTTTGTCGCCTTTGAAAGTCCATCTATGGCCTTCGACAAGCTCCTCGAACGTGGTTTCAATGCCTTGCTGCTGCCCTCTCTCGGTTCGGCTTCTCCGTCTCACGCACCGATCCATCTCTCTTCATATACAAGACCGGTGACATTCGATTATATATGCTTGTCTATGTTGATGATATTGTCATCACCAATAATGATGCTTCCATCATTCAGCAGCTGTTTGCTTTTCTTCGGATAACTTTGCACTCCGGGAAATGGGGCCCCTCTCCTACTTCCTCGGCCTTGAAGTTCAACGTTCATCTACTGGCCTTGTTCTACGACAACGGAAGTTCATTCACGATCTGCTCGACCGTGCTCAGATGTCTAGTGCCAATATTATTTCCACCCCTTGCACAGTTGCACTATTGACATTGTTCAGAATTCTGCCATGGATTCCTCTCCGTTGTTTGTCGACCCAGCTCTCTATCGCAGCGTGGTTGGCGGCTTGCAATATCTCAGCTTCACTCGCCCGGACATCTCCTTCGCCGTCAATCATGTTTCTCAATTTCAGCACTCTCCGACGGACAATCATTGGGCTGCTGTCAAGCGTATTTTACGCTACCTCCGAGGAACTCTAGATCGTGGTCTTGTCTTCTCCAAGTCGCCTTCTCTTCATGTCCATGGTTATTCAGATGCGTCTTGGGCTTCCTGTCCTAAAGACCGCAAGTCCATCACCGGGTTCGCAGTATTTTGTGGCACCAATCTGGTATCATGGTCCACTCGCAAGCAGAAGTCGGTAGCTCGATCTTCTACAGAATGTGAATACCGTGCTCTAGCAACCCTTGCTTCTGAGGTTCTTTGGTTATGTACTCTTCTTCATGAGCTTGGTCAATCAATTCCTACTGCACCTACGTTGTGGTGTGATAATCTTGGTGCGACGTTTCTTGCGCACAATCCGGTGTTTCATAATCGGTCCAAGCACATGGAGATAGAGTTTCATTTTATTCGTGATCAAGTCAGCAAAGGGCATCTGCGTGTTCACTACTTACCAGCACCTGATCAGCTCGCGGATGTGCTCACCAAGCCTCTGCCGCGCCAGTCTTTCACCAAGTTTTGTTCCAAGTTCCGCCTCTCCGAGCCTTCACTTGCGCGGGGGGGGGGGGGGGGGGGGGGGTGAAGAGGAACTTGTTCCTGAAGTTACTCCATTTCTGTTAGTTGTTGTTAATAGGAACGTTGCCCACTATAAGCAGTTCCTTATTTCACTCCATATATGTCGCAGCACTCTGCTGCTCTCCTGTATTATATATTTGATGATTGAATAATAGAAACACCAAGTCAAGTCTTGGGTTTTCACAAAGAAGCAAACCACCACTGTAGCTTAGTCAATTGCTAAAGGTAAGTATATTATTGGGTATGAAGTAGTGAATCATGCAGTTTTGGCTAGGTTAACTCAATAAAGATTTTTTTGCTCTATGGCAGAACTAAGCACACAAAGATCAAATATCATGCTATGATTGAAGTTTAAGCTAAAGATGAATGATCGATCATTCGCTCAACGTTCAACTCAAATTTAGCGTGTTGACATTTCTATTAAGTCATTGTCTAAGTCCATATTTGAAGAACTGAAGAGGATGGTTGGAGTGCTCAATGGCATTGACAAGGAGGGTTGTTGCAATATGAGCTCAGATGGAGTCAATTTGAAGTTACTATGCCTTGCAACAGAAGTAACAAAACCTACAATCTAAGAAATGTAGAATGCAGGAGAACGAAAGGAAATAAAATTTGGAAGTGATGACATTTGAAGAATAAAGTGAAGACTTTGTGACTTGAAGCTGGATTGAGTCCAATGTATCATTTTGGGATCATAGGTGAGAGGATTTGTGTCAATATCACGGTTGAAGTTTGATAGGAGGCAAGGAAAGCAACTCTTGTACTTCTTTGACAACATTTTTCTTGTTTGAATTTGTTGTTTTCCAAGCAAATCTGTCTAGGTTATTGTGTCCAACCTATAAAAGGTTTGATATGTCTTCTCATTAGATGTAACGCACTTGAAATTACTTTAAAATGCAATGAGCATGTGGGTCTGCAGCATCGCTAGTCCAACAATTGCCAAACTCTTGACTTTCTGGGTTTTACTGTTTTATTAGTTGGTCGCAGTTTAGGCAAGCTTCTCTGGGATTGTTTGTTTCTACACAAGGATGTTTCATGAACAGAAATCTGTACACATCATAAAACCTGATCAGTGTAGTAATAGATGAACATGTAGTGTAGTAATAGATGAACATGTTGGTCACAATATGGAACAGAAGCAAGCTGCAAGGATTCAGTCAGGGCCACACTGACGTAGGATATGGATTATTCAGGCTGCAGATGGCTCTGCACCATCATGAAGGGCACAGCAGACAGTTGCTTTGTGATGGCCTTGATACACTCTGATGTCTTCGCCAGTTGACATTGACCACAGTCTCGCCGTTGAATCAGAAGATGCTGCATTACATCAATGACAAGTCAATTTCGTACCCAAGAAACTAAAATAATGCGTCAATTTAATCATATGCAAGCCACAAATCCAGCCTCCGACTTCATTCAGTATTAGGTACCTGTTATAAGGTAAGCACCATCCACAGAGAAAACACAGTCCCATACCCAGCGTTGATGACCTGGCAAATGCACGAACAGAAGGATGTAAGACAATATGAAGCTGATCAACAACAGAAGGATTTCAGTTAGAAACCTGTGTACAAATACGATACCTGTTAAAGTCTTTTCTAGAGTGAAACCATCGACATTCCATATCTTGACAGTATGATCTGATGACGCAGTGGCCAGATACCTGACAAATAAACAATTCAACAAACCACCAATCGTCATTTCTAAACTGGGTTGTGAAGGAAGTAGGATAGGGAACGAAAAAAGAACGTTAATTTGGTAGAGAGACCGGTGAGGTTCACAGAATTCGGGTGACAAGAGACATTTGAGGATGTATCCATTATGTGCTTGCAGCTTATGGAGCGGCTCGAAATTGGTCATTGTCTGCCAAACATATGGTAATTTGGGTCACAGATCATGTACTGAACCATGCAGTAAGCTTTTTTTTAAGGAATTCACTAACTTACTTGGGTTCCTCGCAACAATCGCCAAACATAACAGGTTCCATGATTGTTTGCAGCAACTACCAAGCTTCCATCCCACATAACTGTTAGTGACCTTACAGCTGTATCCACCTCTGGAACCTAGAAAAATAATCCATTGCTTAGGATAAACAAATTAACTGATCGGTCCATGCATTGCCATAAAATTTTTGTTCATAGTCTTTTGTTTTAATCCTTAGTATTAGCAACATTTTACTACTTTTAATGATTATACTACCAGAAAGAAAACAGTGCTGTAATCCTACAAGGCAACATACCAATTCGCAACTGCATGAGTTAGCTGTCAGATCCCAGACACGTATGTTCCCATTTTGGTCTCCGGATATCAGTTCCGTCTGTAAATAGAAAAATTACACACTTCAGGCCTAAAAGAATCCACTTACGCTGAATAGCACGGAGATCCTACCCAGTGCATCAAACTTGGCATCCCATGAAACCTTTCAAAGTACAAGCACACTTTGCAGGGAGTAACGCCACAGCACAAACGGATTCAAAACGGACATGCACAAACTGATAAAAAAGCATTTACTGAGAAAACACTGCTGTCATACCATAAGAGAAAAGAAATACAGCACGATACCTGATTCGGATGTAACACAACCGTGTTCACAGCTGCACGACTCTCATATTCCCTCTGACAACCTGGAGCCCTTCAGAACATATATAACCACAAATTACAGCCCAATAGATAAATTTCAATTGTAAATCATAATATACATACATAAGTCATACTTTACCTCAAGTCCCATATCTTTACTGTGCCATCCTCTGATCCTGAATACATCCAGTTTCCATCACACTGAAACCCCAATGCCATAACATTATTTGTATGCGAATCATAACTCATCACCTGCAGCATACGAAGCCAAGATACCAGACATCCATCTGAGAAAATGAACTTAATTTTGTATGAGAATTTTCGCAACAGGTCAGAGAGATAGGTACCGGTTGAGGGTTGTTAGAATTGACATCGTATAGCCGAATCTGAGGATTCCCAGCTGCAGCTAGATAGCGCTTATCCGGGGTTATCTCAAGTCTATTAACTTGCTGGAAAATAGACAAATCAATGGTCAGAAACTAACCCACACCGTACTGGTAAACAATGACAGCTATAACTCAAGTTGTGTAGCAAGCAATAGGTATCAGAAGTGTGACCCAGTGAACTGGAGTAGGGCTTAACCCAGTGAACCAGATTCAGTTCCATTTCCATACTTCAAATCCTATTCTTCATGATTCGGAGACAAAATATGTTCATGTCACCTATAATATGAGGCTGTAATGAGAGTAAATGAAAATGGAAGTGGCAGCCTAAAGAAAACATAAGAAAGAAAGAAAGAGGGGAAACAAGTTACATCACAGAAGAAAGTGAAGCAAGAATCAGGGAGGAAAGAAGGATTAAAGTCAAAATGCACAGACCGCATCAAGTGCGGGAGGTAAGAGAAACGGAGAAAGAAAAAAGATCAGAAGAAGAAAAAAAAAAACATTATTGAAAGAAGCCCTGGAAGGAAGTGTAGTAACTTAACCAGAAAACAGTGGACACATTAAGAAGAAAGAAAGTCCAGCGAAAGGCTCCAGCAGAGAAAACTTCCAGCCGCACTATCAGTTGAGGGTTGTAAAAAACATAGAATGTGAAAAACACTTGTAATACTACTCTTCGCTTATGCACAGGAACAAACTGTGCACTTTGAAATGTATGCCTACTTAACCAGAAGAAAATGCAAGCAAAGCTCATGCCACGCTTCAGCAGTTAACTACTGTTTTTGAGACCTATGGACTAAGAGAAGTTTGAAACTTAGTGATCATCCAAGGGCTTGCAGAAGCAAAAATCATCACACCAACAATTCCAGTCTTACACTAGAGACTAACCGATTCTTGGGCCTGAATTGTACGGTAACATCGACCGCTCTTTGCCTCCCAGAACCTGATTGTGTGATCATAGCTACCAGTCGCAAGTATCACAGAAGGTTGTGCCATCCTCGATAACAATAGATCAACCCCTGATAACCAATAGAACTTCCATCGATCAGCTGCCAAAACCAATGTATTGCATTCAAAACAAATACCAAAGCGTTCAACTTTTAATTCCAGAGACTTGAGATAGAACAGCAGTTGGAAATTTCCAAGTGCCCTATCTGTAAGAGCTTCCGGCGTTCACAAGAATGTAAAAGCAAAGACAAGATACTGCTAATTATCTAGAAACACGAGAGAACAGTAGTCCTACAGTAAACCCAAAATGTGATTCAGCTCAACCTAAGCTCTCTGGGTAAAAACTTGGACTCCAAAAACCTTCAGAAAAACTAAGAAACGACCGCCAATTTAATTTGATCGTAGTCATTTGAACTCTGAACCAGATAGGGAGAAGGGGAACCTGAATGATCGAAGAAAAAGAGCAGAACTTGTGCGCATCATGATGATAAAAACAGCAACTTTCAGTAGCTTGACGCCATAGGGAACTGAAATAAGTCGGTCATGAACTGTACAACCAAAAGGAAAAAACGTCAGAGCTAGGCAAATCAAGAACCAAATGGTGAAAACTTGAGAGCGGCGACGACGAGGCACAGACCTGGGATTGGAGTGGGAAGGGAGAGAAGAGAAGAAAGAGAGAGTCGATTGACGGCGCGGTTCAGCGTGGGCAGGTTACGGCGGCTGTTTCATCGCCGTTGAGCCACATTTGCTGTTGAAGGTCAAGAAAGATGCTTGGATCGGGCGTGAGTTGGAATTTGGAAACCCTCCCTTAATTTCGGATTTCTTACCAAAAAGCACCCTATTTTCGTGGATTAGTCTATGTTGCTAATACTAGGGTTTTTTTTTTTATTTCTGAGTGATATCAATGGAGGAAAATAGTTAAACTTACAATTCTACTCAGGACCCCTAAAAGACTCTAAAGAAGCCACCCCAAAAAAATCAAAAGATTCTACCTCTAAACGAGACAAAAGCAGTGCTTTACGCGCCACTCTATGGGCAGCACTGTTGGCGGATCTAGGTACCGCCCTAAACTCTATACAAACAGACAAAGAGCTAAGGATCTGATGACACTCTCGTAACGCCGGACCACCAATCGAGTCTTCTAGGACGCCTTGACGAACTTGTTTGACGACCACTTCGGAATCACCTTCGACTATCACGCGGGTCAAGGATCTTGAGGCTACGATGGAGATAGCATCTCTAAAGGCTAGAAGCTCTGCCAGGTAAGGATTGACTATTCCTTGAAGCTGCACCCCAAACGCCAACACCACATGCCCGTCTGACCCACGGATAACAAGCCCAGACGAACACCCGGTGGCACAAACAGCAGCGTCGAAGTTGATCTTCAAAAAGTCTTCTGGCGGAGGGACCCAAGAGGTGGCACGATGGTTTGGGAGTAGAACTGCGGGGTGGAGGAGGAAGGAGAAGATAGGAGACTTCGAGGACCTGGTTGTAGAACTGGGTGGCTAGGGAACGTACATGAGGTTGGTAAAATTCGAATGTCACTTTATTTGTAGACTTCCAGATTCTCCAAAGTAAACAGATGCATTGGAGAATGTGGAATGGGGCGGTCTCAGAGACCATGACATGTCGCCACCATAGACTAAAGTTAACAGTCTGGGCGGTCTCAATAAAGTTGTTCAATCCCACTAAAGTCCACAATCTAATGGCTAGGGAGCATCTGAAGAATAAATGTTCAACGCTTTCTCGATGTCTCCATCAGACAGGGCATCGGTTAAGGCAGTTTACTCTACGAGTTTGAAGGGCCGATTTCAACCATAGTCTGAAACGGTTAGAATCCTACCGTAACTGACATTTTGGATAGTCAAATGCACAGATACTCATTAAATTGATGACCATTAAAAGCTTTCTGGCGGAAGCCGTTGCTGGCCATGATGTATAATTACCGAATTGAATCAATTGCTGGCCAATCTGTTCTAGTATCGAATTGTTGGATGATTGCATTAATTAGCCCTTGGGAGCATATTTATTTGCGGGAGTCCTTTGAATACGCCCCATTATGCTAGCGAAAGAATCTCTTTATTAGAAGTTTTAAAACACTCTAGCTCGTTAAAGAGACGATTTGAAAGCACAATTAAAGCTTTTCCGGCGCTAGCCGTTTCTGGCCATAAAGCCTTGCAACCGACTTGTAAAAAAGTGGTTACTAAACCCAATAACTATTGTATTAAATGAGCATAAAGTAGGCAATTACGTGGCTAAAACTGTTCAAGTTTATTAAAGATGGTAACCATAATAGCTTTGGAAAATAAAAGAGAAATCCAAATAACTGTAACGAGGACTAATAATTAATAGTCAGTAATACCATAACCATTGATTATAATTATAACTGAAAATCCAAAAATAATAAAAACCAATAACTACTTTCCCACCGTGAAAGCATCCAACAGATAAGGAATCTTTATATCCGTAACCGAACAATTAAGAAATTAGAAGAATGCTCTGGACGTAGGTTGCCAAATGCCAATGTATTAAGTCAACATAATCAAACTGTAGGTTTGATCGAAGAAAAAAAATAGCCAAACAAAAAAATGCTCTCAACAGCGAAGCAGGACTTAGCAACACCGGCGCCGGGCCTCCTTCCGTCTGACCGGCCGCCGGATCCTCTGGATCCTTCTGTTCTTGTCAATTTCCCAGGGGCTATGGAAAGCACGGCTCCGCCCATTGCTGCATCAGATATGGCTATTGATTTTACTATTTTGCCTGTGCAGGTATCTCCGGCGGAGGCAACGCCAATACAGGGATCCCAGCCCACGCCAATGGAGGCCGCGGAAACACAGGCGAGCGAGAAGAAAACAGTGCAGGCGTTCACCTATGCTAAGGCGGTAGCGAACTTACCGACACCAATGACACCCCCTAATCAGTTGGCTGTGTGGACTCCGGTGGGGGAACACGATCTAATAACAGGGAGTCGAAATGGCGAGCCGGCGCTGACAATTTCGTCGGAATTCAAGTCGAAGATATGTGCGCCATGGCAGCGCTCTTTGGTTGTTAGACTACTTGGGCTGAAGATTGGCTTCATCACACTCTGTAATCGATTGAAAAGCCTCTGGAGACCGACCGGAAATATGGAAATCAAAGATCTGGATCATGACTGCTTTCTAGTCAAGCTTGATAATGAGCAGGACTACTTCCGGGCTCTGACCGACGGGCCATGGGTGATCTTTGACCATTATTTAGTTGTACAACAGTGGACTCCAAGCTTCAAAGCTTCCGATCCTCTCCCGAAAACCATGATCGTCTGGGTCCAGCTCCCGGCTTTGAAGATTCACTTCTACCACAAGGAGATTGTGACAACCCTTGGAAACCTAATTGGGAGAACGATCAAGCTTGATTACCATACTCTTACACAACAGCGGGCGAAATTTGCCCGGTTAGCGGTGGAGGTTGACTTGTCGAAGCATTTGGTCCCCCGAATCTGGCTCGATGATGCCTGGCAAAAAGTAGAATACGAAAACCTCCCTGAAGTTTGTTTTGAATGCGGAAGGATTGGGCACTGTTCTGCCAAGTGCCCGCTCCTCAGACCCGCCGCTTTACCCAATGCTGCGGTGGTCGCCGGAGGGGATTCACCGGCTGGTTCACCGATCGACGAGGAAGAGACCAACCCGGGCTTTGGGCCGTGGATGCTGGTCTCCAGGAAATCACGGCGGAATTGAAGGGATAGTCAGCAGAAAGGGAAAGTCGAGAAGGATAGTGGAGGGCAAAATCTTGGACCAGGGCATAAACAGGGAAAGCGTGGTGCAGGAAGGAAGGAAGGGATCCAAGACTTACCTAGTCCGACCGTCTCCAACGGCTCTCTGCTTCCGAAGAACCAAACACAGGAAGGGAAAGTCTCGTTTGGAACGAAGAACAACTCCGAGACAAAGAAGGGAGTTGAATCGGACGGGGGCGATTCTGGGGGAAAAGGGAAAGGGCTATTAGGCCCAAGACCGGAGGTGCCAAAGCCCAACCGTAGCTGTTCAAAGTCCAGAGTTTCGGCGGAGGAGGCTTCGACTTCGGGTCAACAGGCCCAGGCCCAAATTCCGGTTCAACCTTTAAAAGCTTCAGAGAATAAAGAGGCGGCCCGCCAAGAGCCCAAAAGGCAGCAGTTCTCACCTCTGATCTCTAAAACGGTCACAGGCCCAAACGGCACCGTTATGCAGATCATTGAAAATTCCCAATTGGCGAAGGAGAATACTGACCCGAACTCCATCTCTGCTCCTTCCCTCGCGCTTCGAACAAAGAACAGCAAGAAAAAGAATTCCCAGGGCAACAAAATGTCTGCTAAGCTCAATACAGTGAAGCCCCTCCAAGTCTGGTCGCCGGTCAAAGAAAGGAAAGCAAAATCCAAAGCTAGGGTGGCAACGCTGACACTGCAGGAGATCAGTGCCTGGACTGAGGCTGCCAAGAAAACGACAGGGGAATCAGGGGGGAAGGCGTCGGAGGCAGAGGCAGGTAGTACCCCCCCGACGAAGGCCCAGACAGCGGAGAGCTCCCCGCCGGCGTAGTTGGCCTCAGCCGCCGCCGTGTTCCCATTCCTGCCAGTTTTTTTCTATGAATTCCAAAATTAAGATTCTTGCGTGGAATGTCGGAGGTGCTGGGAGCAGGGCTTTCAGGCGGGCTCTGAAATTGGTAATCCAAACCCACCGACCAGACTTTTTGGTGCTTCTTGAACCTCAGATCAGTGGGGATACGGCAGATGGCGTTTGTGACAGGATTGGCTTCCCCAATTCTATTCGCGTGGAAGCAGAAGGAAGGTCGGGCGGTATATGGGTTTTTTGGGATGCCGGGGTTTTCTCGGTCCAACCCTATTCAGCCTGCTCTCAACATCTCTCCCTTCAAATTCAAAGAGGTAACGACCCGAGTTGGATGTTAACTGCTGTGTATGCATCTCCAAGGCAGGGTGATCAGCGTCACCTTTGGGAGAGACTTGTCCTTCACAGCAAGAACATCGAATTGCCATGGCTTTTGACAGGTGATTTCAACGCTATCTGTAAACCGGAGGAGAAGTCGGGGCTTCCAACTAACAATACGTTGAGAAGGTGTCATCTGTTCACTGAAAGGATGAATCTCGCAGAACTTGTTGACCTTGGGTTCTCGGGCGCCAAGTTCACCTGGTCCAGAGGAGAGAATGGGCAGACGTACAAAGCCAGCCGGCTGGATAGGAGCCTCTGCAATATCCGCTGGAATTCGGTTTTCCCCAACTCTTCGGTACTGCACCTCCCTCGCTATCAATCAGATCACTGCCCTATCTTGACTTGTGTGGAGGTTCAGCAGATCAGACATCAGAACACGAAGCCTTTCAAGTTTGAAGCAGCCTGGTTGACTAATGAGAGTCTTCGGCCTTTTGTGGCTGAATCTTGGAACTCGGCGGCTCCGCTTGACAATGCCCTACAGGTCCTAGCTACTAAACTTATTGATTGGAATGAGGCTGTCTTTGGGAATATTAAGCAAAAAAAGAGGAGGTTGTTGGCAAGACTAAAAGGGGTGGAAACGGGATTGGCCAATAGCTTTTCACCAGGTTTGGCTAAGCTGCATGCTAAACTAGCTTTGGAGTTGGATAAAGTACTTGAACAGGAGGAGATCATATGGTACCAAAGGTCAAGGGACCAATGGGTCAAGTTTGGAGAAAGGAACACTGGTTACTTTCATCAACAGGTCAACATTAGGAGACGATTCAACAAGATCGAAGCTCTGATGGATGACAATGATACGTGGGTAACCGAGCCGCTTTCTCTCGCTATGCTGGTGTTCAGCTATTTCTCTAACATTTACTTGCAGGATAACTCCCCGTACGAGGACAGAATGCCGAAGGAGTCGTTTCCTCGTCTCAGCCAAGCAGAAGCGGCAGCTCTGTTCCGTCCTTTTAGCATCAACGACCTTCATCAGGCGATCTTCGATATGAAGCCATTCCAGGCCCCTGGCCCCGATGGCTTCCATGCGGGTTTTTACCAGCAGTTCTGGCAGGTAGTGGGGAAGGCTCTTTCGGATATGGCAATGTCTTTTTTTGTGACAGGTACCCTCCCTGAGGCTGTGACGGAATCTACCCTGGTGCTCATTCCGAAAGTGGACTCACCAGAGAGGGTGTCTCAACTACGGCCTATTTCTCTCAACAACGTCTGCCTCAAGAGTATCACCAAGGCCATGACATCCAGACTGAAGCCTCTCATGAGGAAGCTGATCTCCCCTAGGCAGAGTAGCTTTATTCCAGGAAGGCAAACTACGGATAATATCATAGTGGTTCAAGAAATTCTTCATTCCTTCAGTAAGAGGAGAAGCAAAAAAGGGGGCATGATCTTCAAGATTGATCTCGAGAAGGCATATGATATGCTTAGGTGGGATTTTCTCCGAGATACGTTGAAGGAAGTGGGGCTTTCGAGTAGCTGGATCAACTGCATTATGTATTGTGTGGAGCATAATACGATGAGGATTAGATGGAATGGAGACCTCTCTCAACCGATCACTCCATCTCGTGGCATCAGACAGGGAGATCCTCTTTCTCCCTACCTTTTTGTTTTATGTATGGAGCGCCTTTCTCATAAAATTGACGAGACCGTTAGTGAGGGCAAGTGGAAAGCGGTGAGGCTAACCAGTTCCGGCCCGCCTCTCACCCATCTTTTTTTTGCAGATGACCTTCTTCTTTTTGCTGAAGCTGAGCGAAGACAAATCCGGGTGATTAAGGAATGCCTGGCAGACTTCTGCTGTAGCTCCGGACAACGGGTCAACTACAATAAGTCCATCTTGTATGTTTCCCCGAATGTCTCCCGGCGCAAAGCAGAATACCTGAGCCAGTGTGCAGGAATTCCTCTGAAAGCAGCACTGGGGAGATATCTTGGGATCCAGGCAATACAGGAGAGGGTCACAAAAGGAAGATATCAATCTCTTCTACTCCGTATTCAGAAGAAGATGGCTCCTTGGAAAGCGAAACGCCTCTCCTTTGCGGCTCGATTAACAGTGGCGAAATCGGTAACAGCCTCTCTTCCGGTCTATACCATGCATACTGAATTAATTCCAAAGGGTGTGTGCAGGAGTATAGATAAAATCAGCAGGGATTTCATTTGGGGAGAGGAGGAGAATCGCCCCAAATTTCACCTGGTGGCTTGGGAGAACATGACGAGACCGAAGACTCAAGGAGGTGTGGGACTTCGACCTACTCATCAGGCAAACCTGGCCATGCTTGCGAAGTCGGGATGGAAGTTGATGCAAAATGAAGGAAGCTTGTGGCAGCAGCTGCTCCTCTCCAAGTATGGGGGCAGAAGAGTGGGCCTCGACATTCTGCGGAGAGTTCAGGGAAGTTCCTTCACCTGGGGCAGTTTTTCCAAAACTGTTGAGCTCCTTAAGAAAGGATGCGCTTGGAATATTAAGAATGGTAAAAAGACTAAATTTTGGCTTGATCCGTGGATTTTGCAGGTTCCTCTGAAAGAAGTAGCTACTGGGGAGGTTCCAGCAGCTATGGAGCAGGCGGCGGTAGCTGATCTTGTTCGTGAGGATGGGAGCTGGCGCACGGAGCTTTTCAGTGGGCGACTACCCCATGATATCTGCAACAAAATCACCAGCACAGCAGTTGACACCCTCGGCCAGGACGAAGATTCTCTATTCTGGTCGGTGGCAGCAGATGGGAGGTTCTCTGTCAAGTCGGCCTATGAATTACTGTCTGTTTCCGACTGGCAGCCGAGGGACGAGATTTGGAAGGTGATCTGGGGTTTGCCTGTGCCGGAGAGGATTAGGTGTTTTGTTTGGTTGGCTATTCAGGGCAAGATAGCAACCAATGTCCTCAGGTTTCAGAGGAAGGTGGCGGAGTCTCCTATGTGTTTGCGATGTACAGGGCACCAGGAGACGGTTATCCATATCCTGAGGGACTGCGCCCCAGCGCTGTTCTTCTGGTCCAGAGTTGTACCGCAGCAGAAGCAGCATGAGTTCTTCAACGCCGCTCACGAGGATTGGTTTCGCAGCAACCTCTTGAGCAAGGATTCGACCAGCACAGGTATTAATTGGCCTGGTTTTTTCAGCATGGCTTGCTGGTTATTATGGAAAAACAGGACTACTATGGCGTTCAAGGGTCCGAGTGCAGCAATGACTGCTCCCTCTCTCTTACAGTCCATTATGGTTAAGACAAAGCTTTGGAATGATTCTTGGCATGCCCCTGACCCTTTCTCTAATGCCAAGAAGCGAGCGATGGCGCGGGTTAGGGCGGATATTGGTTGGACGCCTCCTGCAGAAGGGTGGGTTATGGTAAACACTGATGGGGCCTCGAATGGAAACCCGGGGCCAGCCGGCGCGGGTGGAGTGGTGCGAGGTCCACTGGGGAACTGGTTGGGAGGCTTTGTGGCAGGTATTGGCTCGGCAACTGCTGTGCTGGCTGAGCTGTGGGCGATCTACTATGGGTTAGAGCTCACTTGGAAACTCGGCCATCGGGTGGTGATTGTAGCTTCGGACTCTCAGCTGGTGATTCAGTTGATCCAGGAACGTCATGATCCCATTCATCCTTATGCGACCCTCTTGAATCTCATTCGCAGGAAAATTGGACAGGAATGGTTGGTCAGCTTGACTCATACGTATCGAGAAGGGAATAGAGTCGCGGACTGGCTCTCGAAGCACAGTCTCGTCTATCCCTACGGTATGTATGAGCTGGTTGATCCACCTTTGGGGGTTTTATCCCTGTTACAAGATGACGTGATGGGTGTTACTTTCGAGCGCCGGATTGTGGCGACCTCCTCCTCTTCTAGATAGCCTCCTCTGTAACTTCTCTTTCTTGGCTTCGGCCTCCTTTGTTATTCAAAAAAAAAAATGCCAATGCAACAAAACCGAATTTAATCCAACGGAAGGCTTTTATCAGTTTAATTGCTTTAGGGGATTAATTAATTATTATATTAAACCCATTAATTTCCGTAACCTCCATGATAAATATCAGAGTAATACTTATCATCTTAAACGGAAGAAAAAGATGATTTAAGAAGGAGAAAAAAACTCGACTTATATATATCAGAGATCCCATAACCGTAACAATAATAATTATTATCTCAATCAAAACACACCGTAATGATAATAATGATTATAATAAATGAATTATGAACCGGTGGGGTGGCAGGAAGCTAAAACTCCGAAAAGCTATAATCGGCACCAAACCTTAAAGCAACTTTACGGTAAGGAGGAATTTTTATTTTTATTTTTTTATTTTACTTAATTCCCCATCCTTATTACCGAAACTGCAATTTGTAATAACCAAGCAAACAGCAGTATTACAGCAATAATTACTTTTTTCTGTAATTAATTAGCGCTGCCAACCTTCAATAACCGACCAAAATCCAGTGATCATGACTTCACTTCCTTCTGCCGTTGTAACTCAAATTTAAATGAATTAAAGGGTAGGACATCAAATCTATTAAGTGGACTTAATGGTCTATTAATTATTGTCCAAACACAAATTGGTTATTAATTGAGAAAAGATCATTAATGACGGCTTTCAACCATACCACGAAACGTTTAGGGTCCTCCATCCCGTAATTGACGTTTTGGATAATTAAATGTCCAGAAACTCTCATTGGATTGGGGTTCTCCGACGAGCGATGAAAATTTTCTGGCGCGGTCGCCGTTTTGGCCGCGATTCATTCATCTAGCAAGCGAACTAACCCAAACGAGTCATGGAGTCAGAGCTTACTTTGGAATTCAATCACTGCCGGTAGGGAGTCCAGGAAACAACTGAGGAATTCCAAAAATAATTTGGGCTATCCGCCCAATTTATCGTCGTCGGTGTCGATTTTATAATCGGTCGTTGGGTGCCGTGGAATGAAAATTGAAACTCCCAAAAGCACACCAGGGGATTTGAATAATAAAAAGCAGAGGAATAGAAATCCTCAATTAACTGAGTTCCTTCAAAGAACACAGATATGATGTTTACAAACCACATACAAGTAACCTCCTTCATTGCTTGAAACGAACAACTCCGCAAGAGAAGGAGTACAGCTTCTGGAAAAGGAAACTTAACCAATCCAGAAAGGATCGGTGTAACCGGCTATAAACCGTAATGACGAGTGTCGTCGTTTTCTCACCACAATATTGGTGGTTCGAGTACATCACCGAGTAGGAGGCATGGGAGCTGCCGGAGCTCGGCAGATGGGACAATTAGAGTGAGAAAGAAGCCACATGTCTATGCAGTCAACGTGAAAACCATGTCTATGCAGTCAAGCACTTCTTCTTTACCTGGATCGATCGAGATGTTGGTGAAGGCGGCGGGTTCGGATCTCGTTGGAGGTGTTAGCGCCGGTGATTTCAAGTGGCCGCCCGGGTTCAGGTTCCATCCGACAGACGAGGAGATGATTCTTTATTACTTGAAGAGGAAGATCTATAGTGCTAATACTAGGGTTTGGTGAGGACAATTTCTTACTTGACTTAGAACCGTGCGACCCGATATGCCTCGATTTGTTTGGGTGGGTATTATCCAATCGTAGTAACATGGGACGGGATTGTATGGGTATTGTCCCACTCTGTTCTCGATTGTTCTAGTATGATTTGTATCAATATCTACATGTATAATGTATTTATCCTCTTTTGATCTTTCTAAAATCATATTTTTATCCTAAAAATTTTGGGCGTAGTCAATGGACAACAGGTGAATATTCTTATACTACCTCATGTTGGTCCCGAGGGATTGATACTCTATCTTTCAATTAGTTATACTCAAGTATTCCTTATATTATATTTATCATTCATTTATGAAGTATTTTGTTTATTTGTTCTCGTAAAAGAGTTAAATATTGGCAGTCTTTTTTCCAAATATATAACATATAAGAATGAGTTGACTCGCCCGTACCCACACTGATATTACTAGACCTGACCTAGTATTAGTGGGGGCGTGTATGGGCATTGAGGTACTCGTCTTGCCTCGTCCTTTTGCCATCACTACTAAGGATGTGCAATTAGTGGCGTAGCCAAGATTTTCTATAAGGGGCGCCAATTTTTTAAGTAAATATATTTAATATGAGAACTATTAATTTTTGCAATGACTCGCAACATTTTTCTACTCTAATAAAACTTGTAATTATATATTCTTCATCTAAACTATCAAAGACCTTATTGTCAATATATCCAATCGATTAGTGCTTCATAATTTTGTTAATCATTCCAATCCATGGCGAGTTACGATAAAGACTCTCTAGTGCTCATGGATAGCGGATGAAAGTCGGTTGAATGGAAAGGTAGAGTCGAGCAACTTAGCGACCATGGTTGAGAGGAAAAGTTTTGATTGGAATTGAAAAGGGAAACATAGTTAAATACTACCACAATAAGTTCACCTGGTGATAGGGGTGGCAGTCGGTCGGTTTCGATTTAACCGAAAACCCGGTTATCGGTTAAACCGAGCCACCCCCTGTACATCCCGACCACCGACCGAAGAGAGCTCACGGTTAGCCGACCAACCGACCGGTCGATTCCGGTTTTAGGCTCGGTTAGCCGGCCAACCGAAAAATACATTAAAAAAAAATTAAATAAAACAAAAAATCACCACCACTCCTTCCTTATCTCCTCCTCTCTCCTTCCTTCCTCTCCACCAGACCTCTTCTCTCTCCTTCCTTCTTCTTCTCTCACCTTTCTCCATGGAAACAGATCTGACTTCTGAGCCTGGAGGGGTCGCGGCGACGGGCGCGGGGCGCGGCGACGGGAGCGGCGACTGGTGTGGCGACGGGAGCGGCGACGGGCGCGGCGACGCGGCGCGAGGATCCTGGCCTCCATGCAGAGGAAGACTCCGGCGCCGAGGAGGATCTGCTGTAGGAAGAAAGAGAGAAGAAGAGAGAAGGGTCGAAGGAGTTAGGAAGAAAGAGAGAAGGGTCAGTCGAAGGGTCACCTCTCACCTCCTCTTTTTTATATTTTCGGTTGTGGGTCGGTTGGCCGGTTAGTCGCGGTTAACCGGCTTCGGTTACTCGGCTAACCGGACTCCTGATTTCCTCTACCGCCAACCGACCGCCCTCTTCTTCGTCGGTTTTTCGGCTAGCCGAAATTCGGTCGGTTCGGTTGAAACCGACCGGTTAGCCGCTTACCGGAAAACCGACTGCCAGCCCTACCTGGTGATATTGTGACGATAATAATGTGGTTCCATGTACAATGTTCATTATAGACAATCTAATATACTCTTTTAACCTTGTTCTCCCAAGACAAGGGTGTGCCAAGGCACCCCCTCCTAACAAGCTGCCTGTGTGCAACGGCGGGTTGGTATGCATTGGACATATCATACCAAAATCAACATCCGTATCGGGTCGAATATAATGTGTCTTGATCCTTATCATGTGTATTTTTTGAATGTCGAAGAAAATATGACCCAAATTGTATATGAACCGGATTAAACACGGCCGAATACAATGATGGTGTTGTTATTGTATTTCTTCTACTATTGAAAAAAAAATGTTTTCATAGTTTGGTCCGACTCGTAACGAACCAGATTATTGCATTCCTTGCCTAGCTAATACTCTTTTTTCTTTTAAACCTCCCAACACTCTTATTTTATTTCCTTCAAACTAGCGGCGAATCTAGGGGGCCGCCCTCGGGCCACGACCCAACTCTTTCCGGATCCAAAACTCGTATAGCACTTGTAAATTTTTTATTTTGGATATATATTTCAATGTTTATAGGGTTATGACCCAACCCTCTCCACCACTTTTTAAATACGGTTCAGTACTCTAATCTGTCCTGAATCCGAGTGTTCATTTCAAAGTTTTCCAAAATTTTCAAACAAAATTTTTTGTTATAATAATGGTTCTACCTCTAATCGTGGACGTGAAGGTCTCATCCGCTAATTAACTTGGGGAGGTGTTATTGCCTCGTTGCCCACATCTCTGCCTACGTCATGGGTTCCAACTTTATGCTTGCAGCTCAAGCAATTTCATATTCGATGTCCCAACCAGGTAGGCCCCATAAATTAGCGGGCGAAAAAAGGCATGGGAAACGGAGGACGACGAGTCGACCCCACATTTGTCACGCTTGCTTTTTCCTGCAGCAGCATGCACCAAGCTGCTGCTATTAAGTGGACTAATAACAGTCAACAAAAACGAACCAAAAACAAAAAGTCAGCAATTAGTAGAACTGTAGAAGGCTAGAGCCTAGAAGTCGTCGGAATCGGAGGATGTCTTGCTTCCCACGCAACCTCATTTGCCTATAAATTAAATTCCCCTCCGTTAACCCCATTATATTTCTCCCAAACGAAAGATCGATCTAAAGCAGCAGCAGCTAGCTAGCTAGCGTATACAGAGATGGCGGGTATAGGCATGGGCGGGAGCGGGCTGGCTGAAGCTTACGTGATGAGAAAGATGTACAAGGAGAAGCTTCACCGCCAGGAAGCCGCCTCTGCTACTGCCAATAAGCACAATGATGATGCGGAAATCAAGAACAGTGTCGGCGGTGGGAAGCCAAACGACGCCGCAGCGGGGGAGTCGTCTGGTGGCGGTTGCTTCTTCAGTAGTACTACTAGCTCCGGCGGGGCTAGAGTTTCTGATGAAAACATGAGCCGGTGATGGCTGGCCGCCGGAGATTCTTGCTCCGCTGCCGGCTAATTAATCGTATGAATACATACTGTTATATATGTACTTTGTTTATTCCCAAAAAGAGAGAGCACATTTAATTTATATGAATCTCTCTCTTTTTTATGGCTGCTGTTAGAGATGAGAATTCCAAGCTGATTGTAAGTTGTAAATGTATAATGGCAGAGTCCAAATTAAGTACATGCAACTCTTTATCAACCCTTGTATGTAATTGAGCATAGTCGCTTCCTGAATGCCTTTTTTACTTTAGTATGGTCTGTCTTCTAGTCTTTTCAATGCCTCCTTCATTGTTGCCAACGAACTCCTACTAGAGAGTAAGCAAGCTACTTTGCTTGTAGTCTAACTCTATAAGCAGAGAGATTTATCGAGTCTACGAAGCTTCGTAGTTGCCCTTCCCGTTTGTGAAAAGGTTATTATGAATAAAAAAGAAACAACACCGTGGAGGCTTATTACGGATGATCAATTGATTAATTCTAATTTGGATGTGAGAGAGTGTTTTTATTTGTTGTGAAAAAAATAGTTGACAAGGCTTACTGATTAAACGGAAGTTTGAGTTCCGGTACAAAAAGTCCGACCTGTAAAACCCGATCGTACCATCATGATACGACGATATATACGTGTATTATCATATCACTATAATACACTAATATGACAGGGTTTTGCAGTCAGAGAGTTTTGTATCACTATCTGCTAACCTTAAATTAATACGGTAAAATGGTTGTATTAATACACAAGTCAACCGATATAGTTCCTTGCCGACAACCAGCCTTATCCCACATCTTAGCAGACGTCATCATTTCTGATGTTATGCAATTGCGACCCAAGCAGTTCCAAAAATATAACCTTTTTTTAATTAACTCTACTTATATACAGATTATGGGCTCTAACCGAAATTCATAATTAAGCGGGCAGCATGAAATGAATGACGTCTTTGATGACGTAATACTGGGCGTAAAGTAGGTAGTGGGGACGTCCTCAATTTTCACACGTTTCGCCTATACCCACCAATAGAATTATTAATTAATTTTAAACCAAAATTGGAAAACAAATCCCCCAAAAAAAAAAAGATTAAATTAATAGTCAACAAACACACAGCCGTCGCCCGCCCGGAGAATTAGCAAGAGCAAGTCGCCGTCCCCGCTTTCCCACGCAGCTTCCGCCGTTCATTTCTGCCCTCTATAAATTCCCCGCCAAGTTCCCTCCCTTCTTTCATATCTATCTTTCAACGCTCTCTCTTAAACCCTCTGTAAATTACTTCATCCATTTTTTTTCATCGGTTTCTTAATTAGCAGCCACCTGCATTTTGCGCCTGATCGATCATCAGCAGCGGCGAACTTCTATTACCGTAATGGCGACTATAGGCATGGGAGGGTTGGCGGAAGCTTACGTCGCTGGAAAGATTTACAAGGAGAAGATTGATCGCCAAAAAGCGGCTGCTGCTGGCGGTAGGCCAGAGGACGCCGCCGCCGTCGGCGGGGAGTCTGCTGCTGGCTGCTTCTCCTTCTGGAGCTCAAAGAGCTATTCCGCGGCCCGTTCTGGTCCCGGTGCTAGAGTTTGCGATGAAACCGTGTGTATCAGGTGATCACGGCAGATCCCGGCCTGTGTTCTGCAGAAAATTGCTTTGAGGCACAAAACCTTTTTTTTTTTTTTTTGTTCTGACAACTTGTGTTGTTATTATACTGTAGGGTATGCATTCTTTTATTGGAAAGAAGCACAATTTTTTATTCTTTCTTTTACTTTTTCTGTTGTCTCTATGGTATGTTTATAACATATGAAATTGCTGGGATTGAATTGAAATATTGAATCGTGAAATCGTATTGTATTTCTAAAGTTATGTTGATTGAAACACGATTAAACTATAATTTTAACACAAAACACCCTCTCGCTAACTATTTGGTAAAGTCTCCGCTACGGTTTTTGTTGACAAGTACTGAGTAGATATCATTTTAAGTATAACATTCAACAAGGGCATCCAAACAAAAGCTCAGGCAAAATTAAGGAACATATATTTAGCTAACAGAATGGAAAGATATCGCCAAAAATTGCATATTATGCCAACAGCATAAATATTACATAGTTTGCTCAGCACAGGCATTGATGCTGTGTAGTCTGGCAGTCTCTGAATCTCTCTTTCGAATAACTAGGTGAACTCAAGAGTCATGACAAAATTTGAGAGAGAGAGAGAGAGAGAGATGCAAAGTTGTAAACTTATAAATACTCTGGGAAGAAAAAAAATCGAGATCATTGTCCAGCTCTGTCGTCTCTCTTCTTCATCACATTCGAATGCTTCGACTGACTCCAGGGTTGATACCAGAAACTTCACCTCCATAAGGCCCCGTCGGCTTCTTGATACTAACCACCTGCCCCTTCCTCCGTTTCTCTGCACTTTGATGCTTTACCTGCAAGACGTTTCCCAGATAATGTCAGCTGGTTTCTCTTTTCAACATAGCAGTTAATGAAGCTAGCAGCATAAAAAAGGTTTCCTTGACGACACGTACCCTGTATTTCTTCCTGGGATTCTTAATTAGCTTCTTTCGTTTTCGGGTCAGACCTCTGTTCTTCTCCATCTGCAGGAATGTGACAGAATAAAATTCCAATGTTGCCAACTCTAGTGCCGTCATAAAGCAACGAACATGGAGCGACAGGCAGTTTAATTATCTTCACTGTTCTTACCTGATACGTGATAAGTCGTTTTCCATCCACTGGTTCAGGCAAATATGGAGCTGCTGCATTTCTGCAAAATGATGGGAAGTTCAGACTTCAGAGGGAGGGAGGTGCTTATAAAGTAACAAACCTTTGATAAACTCGAGGAAAAACTTACAAAGTAAACCATATTTTGTTAAACAAAAGATAAACAAAGTAACAAACTCGCCCATAGACGAACCTTTTCTCAGCCTTTGCGGTGACCGGTTTCACATCCTTGACATCATTCGCTTCTTCTTCCGACTCATCTTCTGAGCCTTCTGCATCACTCTCCTCTTCGGATTCAGGAGATGCATCACCATCTTCTACATGTTGGTCAAACTCATCTTCATCCCCAGCATTATCCTCAGACCTTACTCCAGCAGTCGCCAAAACCCTCAGTTCATGTTTCCTCCTCCTCTCCCCAATATCATCTCTCTTGGGTATATCTTCATCACCAGAAACGACCTTTTCACAAGAAAAGAAGGTATGATGTTACACACATACAATCAACACTGACTCAGCTATAACAGCCAATTAACTTCATTATTCAAACTAAAATTTGCACCAAGTTCAACCTTTAGTTTCTTGGAATACAAGTTTGTTGGTCTGTCAGCTGCTCCATGGTGGCCATTTTTAAGATCAACGGCATCGTCATCAAAATCGTCACATGTTTCAAGACGGCTTTTCAAGACAAAAATTGGACAAATTGGGATAAAATGTCAATAGCTTCATCAAGAGAGGAACACAAGAATCTTGGTTCATGAAGGCATAACGAGAAAACACCTGTTTGCTTGTTTATGCTTCTTCTTGACTTTATCCTCCTCGGAGGCAACGAAGCTGAAGACCCCCTTTTGTTTCAATTTTTCCTCCAGGGCGGCTCGTATTCTCAACATTTCTGTACTTTCAACACCGACCTCATCATTCTGTTAATTTTAATAGACAACATCAGATCAGATGCAGTTTTCACTGATTTTGAAGGACCAAAAATGAAAATGGCAGAGATGGACAAAGAAAGAGGTTTCAATGTGATGATAGTGGACAAGAAAAGAGGATTTTCACCTTGCGCTTATGCCTTCCTTCTTTCAATTCTTTCCTTGGATGGTCACTCAAAGAGTTCCCATTCACCAGCCCGATTGTCTGATGTGGCCGCAGCACGGAAAGAAGAGGTAAAATGCCACTTGTTAATAACAAAAATGAGCATGAATCACTTGGAAGATTCAAGGTGGAAAAGATCAAAAGACAATTGTGAACTTGGCTTGACCTCTGCAACTTCTCGTGTATCAGCTGAGGCGAGAGAAAGATCATCCTTCTTTGTCACTAGGTCCACCGCCAACAAAGGTGCAGCATCCTTTTTCATGAACTTGCCTAGATCTTCAGGACTGATATTTTCCTTGAGAAACTCCTCTAGCTTTGATGGAAGTTCTCCATCTAGTTGCTTCATCTATTGGAGAACAGCATAAATATTTAAGAGGTTAAAATCTATTGGACAGATTGGAATATTGAACGAAAGTTGATTTAACCAACATTCAAGCTAATTGGATAATCATAGCTCTATTTTTTTTTTCATCAGATCACTTCCAGTTATGCCAAAACATCAGCCTATTTCCACAAAGGATGTTCACTTAGACTTTCAAATAAAAAGAAAAGGCCTGGGATGTAAGAAAAAGGCTAACAAAGACACTCTCTGTTTGAGGAGCATCCACATTATTAATTGTATAAGCTTCCACCCAGGAGCATGATGATGATAAAAAGGATGGGCTACTTTTGAACAGCTGTTTGTGGATTATGGATGAGTTGCAAACAAGACACCGATGCCCAAACTGTAACATACTGATGATATGCAATATAATCCAATATAATCCAACAGGGCAAAAGTCATGCATCACAGACACACGCCATTCGTCAGTGGGACATTTCAATAAACAATCAAGTCTAGCTTTAAGAAGGAAGGGAAACCTTATCCAATAAGCCCTTAAGCTCAACAAGGCGGGCAATGACAGGATGGTCATTAACTGGGAGACCCTCAGACTTGAGAAGTAGATAGAATGTTATGGCTTGGCAATATGCCAGCAAAAGGAGCTGGTTTGCCTCCAAAAATCGAAGCCCACCTTCCATATGGATTCCGCTTTCTTTAGCCTGCACAAACACAAAATTATTTACAATATGAACACACTTTCATGCAAAATCAGGGTGGCTTCAAAGGTGCTGTATGAAAACGAAAGAGAAAACCTATTCTCTAGGGCACAATCAATGACATCAGATGCAAAGAAGTAGAGGATTGAAACATAAATAGAAGCAACTGCTACCTTGCTTAGAACTGGATTGATTCTAGTTTCAAGCTGCTCCAGTGCATCATTCAGCTCAGACAGTAACCCAACTAATTCTGGAGCAGAACTGCAATGCAAAAGTAACAAACGTGTGAAGTCATGCAGCACGTGCTTCAGGAAAATGGACCACTTCTGGGGGGAAACATTCAAAACCAGGATAGAAGAATCTGAATTTAATTTCAAAGCTTAATACTGGTCCTTCATGCACAGCTTAACCTCCAGAGAATACATAAACAAATGTAGAAAATGGAGACAAAAAGAAAGTCAAAGACAAATCAATACCTATATACAGCATTCATTTGCTCTTCCTGTGATAAAGCCCTCAAATCTTTGTCTGCCTCCTTAAGATTAGGCTCAGTTGAGTGAGCTTTGCCTAAGGGTTTTACTCCAGCTTTAATTTGCTATATGGCAACCAGGTTAAATGTCATTAGTTCAAGATCGAAGGAAAAGAATACACAGGTCCTGACAACATGAGAGCCAGAGGAAGAACCTACCTCTAGTGATAATTCTTGGTCACTCTCAACTCCATCCTCCACATCTTCAAGACCAAAGTCTGTCATTGATAATGATTTTGCTTTTAACTCTTGCTGTCTTTTAACCTCTTCCTCCTCTTCTTGTAGCTCCTCATCACTTGATTGAGGCTGCAAAAAGAAGCAACCAACCAATAAAAAAGTCTACTTTGCTAAAAATATGTTCAGCAGGCTGAACAAATGCGCAATATCTTACTTCAATGTCACGATTGTCACCACCATGGTAAAAGCTCTTGTGTCCAGCCCATGTCGACCTGTTTTCCTCTTCATCTTCCTCGCTATCTTGCATTTCATCATCAATTCCAGGCATTTTCTCTTTGAGATACTTCATTTGTCTGACAACTGCCAATAATCAAAAGAAATTATATGAACAAACTTCTTCCAGAATTCACCTAGTTTTACTCTCAGCTAAAACTAGGATCCGATTAGGAATACTTTAGAACACGAGTCCCAAAAAGATCCTATATTACAGAAAATGATAATAAGGAATCATGCAAATATGAAGGAGACAAGTATAAAATGCTCTTAATTTCCTGCTACAGAACAGATGGAACTAGTTATGAATATCATCTTACTTTTTGCTGCTAGTCCCGTATCTTTACCATAATCCTCCACATCATCATCTTCATCCTCATCATCACTGACATCCTTGATGTCCTGTAAGCATCACCAGCAGTGTATACATACAATCATTAGCGATCATACAGCACAGTGTACAGAAAAGGTTGCACAAGTTTGTATTCATTGAAATATCTACCCCAACTTCATTCCAGGCCATTCACTTATTACAACCATTATACAGAACAAAAGAAGAAGAACTTCAGTTCACTATTTCATAGTTTGAGACAGAACCTTGTGACATGACACTTCACTTAAAAGCCTAGTCATGCCACACCAAGAAGCTTAAACTAAAACTAAGTGACTGGAGGAACCAATAGTACATTGTAGAGAAGAGAACAATACCTCGTCTTCGAAAACTGGATGTTCTTCATCACTAGATTCTCCGGAATCATCATTCAAATCAAGCGGGACAATATCTCGCTGCTTGTGAACTGGTTATTCGACGTACAGAAGAAAAGAAACAAAAGCACATTACAGATCCTCAAAGGTACAAGGCATAATTAAGCCACTCTTTATATCAATACCTCACAATAACTCCACAAAGTTTTGGTGTTACGAGCAAAAATTTAAGTCAGGAATGTGGCAGCAAGCTATCAAAGGAGAACTTCGCACTTATGAACCCTAACTTCAAGCTCAACTCAAGATACATGTCTAACGAGAACCAGTTCAAAACAAGCATAACTAATAAAAAAAAAGTAAAGATGTATGAAACTGCATAAGGAATCGCCATACTTACACACATCAATCTCATCATCCATGTCTTCTGGATTAGCATACTTATGGCGGGAACTACTCTTCGGTTTCCCACTACCTTTCTTTTGGCTCCCGCTTTTCTTCCCCATAGCTTGACAGCACACGGCAGTAGCCTACACAAACTTCACAAGTCTGATGTTTCGCTTTTCGGCCTTTAGCCCGTCTCCGACGTTCAGAAGAAAGCTGTCGGCCTTTAGCACAACTTTCGCCGTTGTTCGCCGTCCACCGCTCGCTCTCTCTTTCTCGCTGCTCTCTGCTCCCTGGAAAAGAGGCGACGTCGGAGGCTGCTGCTGAAGTGCAAAGGTCTAATGCTAAAGCGGCCGAGGGTTCCGTTTTTCCTCCATTGTTTTCCTTTTTCTTTCTTCTTCTGAAACAAGAAACGGTGCCGTAATAGTTCGAGGCCGACAACGCTCGTCCGGTTCGATCGGTGTCCGCGGAAACCAGCCGTTGATCCGGCCCGCCTAAAAGGCTTCCAGACCCAGTTATTTGGACTTATTGGACCGGAATGCCAAAGACACTACCCCAGTTTTGGAATTAAAACTAGGGAATTATAAAGATCGTTCTAAAATATTTTAAAAATTACTAATGATCATACTAAATGATAATAAAGCTACATTTTAATTTTTTTTGCATTTTTACATTTTCTTTAGCAAACAAACATCATTTTGACTAAAAAACAAAAAACACTCAATATCCCACACTCTCGAATTTATCGTTGACATACTGAAGTCGAAATCGTCGAAAATACGTCTGAATCATTAGTAGCGACTCCGACAGGGTAAAAATAAAAATAAAAAAAATCCGAAACCCCTCAATCGAATCCAATTTTTGGTTGTACCATGGTTCAACCGAAGCCAATTTTTCGGTTGTACCATGGATTAACTGAAAACTATCTTCGGCTGAGCCATGGTGCAACCAAAGGTGATTTTCGGTTGGTCCATGGTAAAACCGAAAATTGGCTTCGGTTGGGTTTTCTTTTTGGGGTTTTTCGGTATTTATCAATAATTTTCTATTCTTTTGCTACGATTTATGGTTCGGTCCATAAGATAATTTGTTGAATTTTGGTTTATTTTTTAGATTTATGAAAGGGGAGGGGTTATTTGTTTTGTGTTTGATTTTGAAATTGAAAATGGACAATTCGGTAAATTACGTATTAAGGTAGAACAATAGTTAGTAAATTATAGTTAGAACGATAGTTCGTAAATTTTAGGACGAACTTTAATCATTCAGCAAAACTAATCTGTTCCTAAATAATGTTGAATGCAACTAAATGGTCACTGAACTTCAAAACATAATGATACCGGAACCTCAATTATTCATTTGTAGCAAAATGGCCGCTCCTAACTTCTTCAGTTCGTCGTTAATTTTGTTCAGTTAATATGCTCAAGCACCGTTGAGCTTTAAAAGACACCAAAGGCTTGTTTGGAGAGGACAGTTGTATATTGTAAATGTATGACAGTTAATATGCTCATACGTCCAAACAACTCTAAATTGAAGTAACAAAAACGTTTCAACTTCAGGTGATGGCCAAAATAGTACATCTCACACACATTCCTCTGCGATTACTGTCAACTGTAAGAACTAACATGACTAAAGGAAGAAGTGTGACTAGTTTTATCACAACACCATGCTCGAATTTAGGATACCACAATGTAACGCCCAAAGTTCTTTCTTGCTGATTAGCGGCCCATCTTAGAGTGGAAAAGGGTTAATGGAATGCAATGCCTCCACCAGAGTATTCAACCTCCTGCAAATTAGACAGCAAGGGTTACAACCTCCATTGGTAAGACAAGAACACAGGAAATAACGTTCTCCAAGAACCAACCAAGTCGGTGCTGCCAGAATAAACTAGCTTCACGTTACTTTTCCAGCATGCCAGACTATTTGCATCCAAATCAGTTCATAACTAGTGGGGGGTTTTTTTTGGGTAGGAGGTATTTATTAATTTTTAATCCGCATGGAATTGCTCTCAAATGTTGTTCCTGTGTACATATTACTAGTCGGTTTATAAGAGCACGAGGGTGGGATCAATGATGGCCTGTAGGTTTATATGCAGATAATTTGCCAGCATTACACAGGTTTTCACTACATATTATTGTGTCACTTGACAGTGAACAGCCAAAGAATAACATGTATGTGAAGGCCATGTATTGGGAACATATTCTCAGACAACACTAGTATTCAAGCGTGATTGTTTCTATACTCATATCCTGAAAGGACTACTCGGCTAGCTTGGAATAGGTACACAAGGGCAACAAGAAGAGGCCTACTTAGTGAAAATTTGTGTGTTTCCGTTAAACTCCACACACAGAAATTTGTCGCAGTCAAAGAAGAAGATTTCTAAATCGGCTTTCAAGTTCTTTTCCATTCTATATCATCCTACATGAGTTTGAAAATGAAACAATTGGGATCGAGAAATTGGACCTGAGCAGGCGGTAGAGAAGAAACCCAATCCGATGCATGTGTTGGCAGAAGACCCAATGTGTTAAGCTGCCATAACAAAAAAGGGGGTTAGTCATGTCAACGTAAGCATCAAACATGAACACATTTAGATCTTTGTAAGGCAGTTGGCCTGAAACTTGTCTCACCTTCCAAACACCCAGCACCATAGCCCCTAAATTTAGGGCAATGAATACCAGCTTAGGCGCAAGGAGGTCAACTTTGTTGTCCTTGTATGGCTCAAAGACTGTAGACAGAAGGGGATGAAAAGGTTAACCTTTGAATTAGCTTCCAGCATAAAATGATAGTAACGTATTACAAGCTGCCTAGTATGATTGATAGAGATTATACTTCATGATAGCAACCAAAAAAAATGAAACATCTAATCTGTCCACAATTCCACAGTATACAAAACTACGCTTTACGTCGAGAAAAACACAAAACAAGATTTGTAAGTCATATCAAAGCTCTTAATATGGTTGGGAGTTGGGACACAAAGGAACACATGTCTCTGGAGTAAATTCCACTAAATTATATAACCAGACAATCGGCTCTAATAAGGGAAGCAACAAATCATAGAATCATAATATTGCTAGCATACCCTTTCCAACCCCTTGGAGAGCACTTAATGGTTGCCAAAGTGCCGAGAACGTAATACCAATGCTGAAAAGGTGCACAGTATTCCCAGCCATCCACATCATGAAGCCCATCATTAGCAAATTCTTGAAAGGTGCTTGTGCCACTTCCCAAGCTTTCTGCGTATTACATCGATGGTTTAAAATTTTGTTAATATGCCAACAGAAACTAACAATAATACAACGGAACTTTACTCAAAATGACAAGGTAACGAAATGCTTGAAAAGGTGCTTGCTACCATATCTATTCGTACATATTTTCTTTTGATATTATTTGATCCTACAAAACCGAGACTGTCCTTAAGTTGATATGATGATAGAACGATGATGCTAACATGCAGAGCAGAATAAACATTTAGCTCTCTTTCTAATATGCTATATGGAAGAAACTGCTAAGAAAATAAAGGTCCATATATGATTCTACCAGAGGGGAGAGCTTTTACTTTATCCTTTTGACTTGAGGGGTAGTATCCCATATGGTCTGGAACCATAGCAATTTCATTATTTCACCGAACAGTATTGTTAGAGGTAGCACTCCACAAACTCTACCATCTCCAACTCGAATCTAGAACTCATCTTAACAGGCAATGTTATCAATAGGAACACCACCATCAGATAGTTTCTTACAAAATTCTATCCAAGGCTTGATCAATTCCAGAAGAACTTAATAACCAACCTGGGCCTTCCAATTAGCTTCTGCATCCTTCTTTTGCTTGCTAACAGTAGAATCATCCTGCACCCATGCCAACAACGCTATTAAACACAGAGCATAACAAACTGGTGTATCAATTGAGATAAAAGAAAATTAACAAAAACCTGCTCCTGAGATGCACGGGAGAAGCCTGGAGGATCGGGAATGTCGCGCGAGTAAGGGGTTAGGGAATTATCACTGAAATCCACAGCCCATCTGCGACCAGAACCCATAATTGCTTTTCCCTTGTCCATCACAATCCAGCCTTGAACCTATTTGACCTGAAACTCCCAACCAACACACTGTTAGGCAAGGTAATGTGGCATGGTTGTCATGGTGGCCATGTGGACTGATGATATGAGTTTTGAAGTAGTTAATTGGAGAAATTAAGTAACATTCATCCTCCTCAATTCATAAGCCCAACAGATCCAGATATCAAATCAGTTAATTGTGGATTTCAGAAACGCAATAGCAGGCTAATCAATCAACCATCTAACCTACAGGCAACTCAGGTGCAATTTAGTAGTCAATTGAAGGATTTAGTAACTTGATCAATTCTTAACCCTATGCTGCCGGAATTTCGAAGAAAAAGAACCTCTGATCCCCCAAAGTTTGGGCTTCCGATACAAACCAAGAATCAAATTCAGGTTATTTACCTTGCTCACGAGTCACGAACAGGCAGAGGACTAGATCAGTGATTTCGCCCACGCCTTGATTCGGTCAAGATTTCAGGCTCAGAAGTCTGAAGCTCGCGTCGCTCTGAGCAACCAGTAGGACGTCAATCCGTTGCAGCTCGTCAAGTCGCGGAGCTTGGGAAAAGCTTCCGTCGGCCTTTCCACTCGTGAGTCGTAACTGTTTGACGTCTCCGTCGCGCTCTGTCACTCTGCCGTCTGCTCCTGGGGGACTGGCGATGTCCACAACGGAGAAAGCTGCTGGAGTGAAGGTCAATCCGATGCGTATGGGCCGAAGCCCGAGGGTTCCGTTCCACGTATGGGCCGAAATATTTGAATACGACACCCGTGAAGTGAACTAGGGGTGGCTCTACGGTCCGGTCCGGTTAAATTGACCCAAATTGATCCGGTCCAGTCCGGTCTTTTTGAAAATATAAGGACCGAAGATTGGATTGGATACAGTCCGGTCTTGATCCGGTCCGGTTTTGATCCGGTCCGGTCCCAATTCGGTCTTGATTTTACATTGAGATTGTGGGATTTGAGTGGCCTAAGGCCTTAAAGGGTGAGGAGTTGGTTAAGTTTTGTACTAAGTGCAAAGGTTTGCGACCGTTTATGTAAATTACCCTTAAGTTTTGGGTGTTGAGCTCTCTTATCCGGTTTTTTACCTCAAATCTAAGCCCAAAGATTGGATTGGATTGTTTACTATCCGGTCCCGGTCCGGTCTCGGTCCGGGTTATACGGTCCGGTTTCCAGTTTTTAATCCGGTCCCGGTCCAAATAGCCACCCCTAAAGTGAACACATTCAAATAATCAAATCACTACTTCCTTCCGTTAATCGAAAAGGCGAAAAGCCGAAAACTTAACCAAATAAAATGTAATCTCGATTAATTAAAGTTGGTTTAAGTGTAATTGATTATGGTTATAGTTCTTGGATCATTATTGATTGTGGTTCCATATCATGCCAATCATTAGACGGGTCACTGGCTCACTACAACACGAGGTTGTCATACTCTTATATCAATGACTTCTTCTCGATATAATTCACCACCATGTGTGATGCGATTCAATGGAGCAACGACTCTACGATACAGACATCGAAAGAGACTTGCAATTAATAGCCCCCGCATAATCGAAGAAATCACCACGATTTCAGGAGGGTGTTTATTGGAGAGTTCATGCAACTATGCAAGTACAAAACTCTATCTTCAAAACCTTATGTAGCATTCATCTTAACGAATTGAGCTGCTCATTACATCACCAGATAAATTTTAAGAAATCAGATTCCTCACCTTTTCTCTCATTTCAAATCGTGCACGAGACTTTCATCTCGCACGGCTCCTAAGTGATAAAAGCAAGGTTGTCAACCCGCGGGTTGACCCGCGGGTCGACCCACTTTGACCCTGACCCGGTGAGAAAAACGGGCCATACGCACCCGCCGGGCCGACCGCTACAAGGTATCGGGTTGGAGGTCAAATTGTGTAATTTTTTTCTTTGGTTTGCGAAATGCGCCTATTTTCCGATTTTTCTTTTCGCCTAACTCAATCTTTGGAATCCTAAGTTGACCATTTGAATATTTATGTTAGATAAGTGTGTGAATTTTCACTATATGTTGGATCTAAGTACGATATGTTATTTTGGAGTAATATTATATGTTATAAGTCATATGCTAGATAAGATTTGATATAATTTATGAGGATAAGTACAATATAATGACTTTTTCTATATTTCCGGGCCAACCCGGGCTAAAGCGGTTGACCCATTAACCCTTGACCCACTAGCTCGACCGGGTCTGGGTCAACCCGCGGGTTGACAACCTTGGATAAAAGAAAGAGGAACTCATATTCTTTCCCTTTTTTTATTACCTTCCTCACGTATGTATACGACCAAATTCTTTTTTGTCAATCACTATACATATGAACATTTATAACAAAAAATAGGAAAAACAAGTAGAAGTCATTTCGAGTTTCATGTTCACCTATGACTTTCATATATGTGAGCTACCATAAGAGATCAAAACCACTTCAACAACCAATACCACATTACCCAAAACAAAATTCACCAATACATAGTCCATATTGGTACAACCATCATCAACATCTACTCTCCAATATACTAAACCACATTCCAATTTCTTTAGTTCGCAAGAACATTCCAATGGCTAGCCAATATCTCCCTTTCTTCACAAAAACAACCTTCTTTGACAGTTTCAGACCATCGACATTACTTCTTAACACACATAACTCTTCCTTTTTCCCTCCCAACATTGGAATTCTTCAGTCTCCCCAGGTCCCCAACCACTCTCTGCCCACTTCTTTAGCCTAATATATACATCAAATACACCCAAAAAAGACAACCAAAATTCACCCTCTTCCAAAACCATGACGACAAACCTTCTCATGCTTATAACCCTAATAATCTCATCATCTCTCACCATTCAGCACTCCACAGCTTCATCCACCCCGCCGGCATGCCCCCGCCGGCCGGACTTCCCCAAAGAAGCCCTCCCCACAAAATCCGGCTACCTCCCGATCAGCCCCAACTCCACCTCCGCCATCTTCTACACATACTACAAAGCCCAACAGAGCCCAATCTCGCCCCAGCCCAAACCAACCCCAATCCTGATCTGGCTCCAGGGCGGCCCAGGCTGCTCCTCCATGCTCGGCAACTTCTTCGAGCTCGGCCCATACCTCGTCTCCGAATGCAATCCGGATTCCAAAAACCAAACGCGCGTCGTTTTGAAACCCAACCCGGGTTCCTGGAACCGGATCTTCGACCTGCTCTTCTTCGACAACCCGATCGGATCCGGGTTCAGCATCGCCTCCGACCCGGGAGAAGTCCCTAAAAACCAAAACACCGTCGCCAAGCACCTCTACGCAGCGTTGACCGGGTTTCTCGCGCTCGACCCGGATTTCATGACCCGACCCGTTTACATTACCGGGGAAAGCTACGCCGGGAAGTTCATCCCTTCAATCGGCTACCACATCCTGAAACGAAACGAAGAGTTACCCGTTTCGAAACGGGTGAATTTGGCAGGGATCGCAATCGGAAACGGGATGACGGATCCGGTGATCCAAGTCACAACGCACGCCGCCACGGCTTATTTTCTAGGGTTAATCAACGAGAGGCAGAGGAATGAGGTGGAAAAAGTTCAAACCAAGGCGGTTAAGTTGGTTGAAGCGAAGAAATGGCGCCAAGCAGCCCGTGCTAGAAACAGAGTCCTCAGGTTGGTGAAGAAGCTGACAGGTTTAGCCACCGATTTCGATTTCACCAGGAAGCAGCCTTACAAGACCGGTTTGGTGACTCGATTCCTCCGATCGAAGGACGTGAAGAGGAAGCTCGGGGCGAGGGAGTCGATCGAGTTCGTGGGGTGCAACAGGACGATTCGGAGCGGGTTCAGAGGGGAAGTGATGAAGAGTGTGAAGAGGAAAGTGGAGGTTTTGGTGAGGAAGGTGGGCAAGGTTTTGCTGTATCAGGGGAGCTATGATTTGAGGGATAGCGTGGCGTCGAGCGAGGCGTGGATTAAGACGATGAAGTGGGACGGGCTCGAGAGGTTTTTGGTGGCGGAGAGGAAGGTTTGGAGGGTGCTGGGAAATGGGGATTTGGCTGGGTATGTTCAGAGCTATGGAGGGTTGAGCCATGTTGTGGTGTTGGGAGCTGGGCATATGGTGCAGGCTGATCAGGGTGTTAACTCTCAGGCCATGATTGAAGATTGGGTGTTGGAGAGAGGATTGTTTGGTGGGGAAGAAGAAGGTAAGGATTTGTTGTCATCAGAGTTGAAGGAGTCAAATGTGAGAAATATTTGCTGCAACAAATACATTGTTCATTAAGAATCGGACTGGCATGGAGAAGTAGGGGTAACGCATGAATCTGATCAGGTTCAAAATCATATCGAATAAGTATAAAGATCGTCGAAAGTAAAAGAAAGATGCACAATAGACATACCAAAAGTATATTGATTCAGTTTGATCTATTGCGATTTTCATTACATCTACTTGTTTCCTATTATGTCAAGGGATCAAATGTAATCAAAACCGAAAGCTTAATCTAGTTATACCATGATCCAATTCGGTTTGTTCTAAAGCATGAAACCAAAATTAACACCCAGATTCAGGCATCAAAAGACTTCTTTTTCTGTTCTTATGCATTATACACATCAGGTTACACTAGTACTGCTCTGCTTGTCTGCAACATACCAACACCACAAACATAACCTAACACTAATCTGCTCAATTCTCCTGGGCAAAAAAAAAACCCCCCCAATCAATCAAACAGGCAAAGCTGCCCAAACTATATCAAACCTGGGGAAGAAATGGCAAACAGGGCCTTCCCCAGGGACCATCTTCAGCACCCGAAACGACGGGTTATCCCGATCCCATTTCGAGGTATCCATATGACAAAGCGCCACCGCTTCCACCACCCCGCCGTCTCCCTCACCACCCAACAGAACCCGAAACAGCTTCGTTTCGCCGGTGGGTCTATGGCAGTAGTAAACCAGGTAAGGATACGGCATGGTGTGACAACCCATCACTTTCCTGGTCAGGATTTGTTCAGGCTCCTTCAGGATCGTGTAGTTCCGAACCGAACCCAAACCCGACCCCAGCCCGTCATCGACCGGTCGGGCCGAGTGGGTAGTGGTGGCCAGAGCCCTGAGTTGGGTTTGGTCACCGAAACTGGACCGGACCGAGTCGAGCATGGACTCGAGCGAAGTGGCGCAGAACTTAGTCTCCCCTGCCATGGGTTCGAGCTCGCAGAGGGTCAGGGTGGACTCGACGGCCCTCGCGTGGGCCGATCCACGCGAGAAGGAGAAGAGCTCGAGCAAGGATTCGAGGTGGGATGAGGAGAAAGGGATCGAATCGGATTCTTGCTTGGAGAGCAAGTGTGGCGAATTCGAAGGTTTCTTGTTGGAGAAGTAGATTGGCATCCTGTTTCCTGGTTTCAGGTCGTCTATGTTGAAGAAAATCGACACCGAGGGCGGGTCGATTGTTTCTCTTCTTCCATGGTCGCTAGCCGTTGCTGTTGTTCTTGGTATCTGCAACATGATAAGGAAGTGTAAGCCCCAGAATCGTAAAAACCAGTTCATCTCAATACTTCGAATTGTTCGAAACTGTAAGAGTAAATCGGATAGTATATAAAAAAAAAGAGAAAGATGTGTTACCAGGAGAAGAGCAAGTAGAAGGGCAGGAAGAAGGATTCTAGTCCAGGAAGCGGCCATGGCAATTTGTGTTGGAGCTTGGCTTGGTTGATCTGATATGAAACTCTCTCCTTTTCTTTCCTTCTTTCTCTGCGGTACTGCAAAGTCTCTGTGATTTCTTTCCTCTCTGTTGCTCTGTTAGTGAAATAGAGAGCTTGGGGCATATTATATGGAAATTTTCTTTCTTTTTTTTTGGTAAATAATTTTTTATATTTATTTATATAACGGATGAGTGTTTATTATATTTTTGTCAACTCAATTAATTGTTTTTAAAAAAAAGTAGTGGTGAGTGGTGACAGCTTGAGAACGTTTATCATTTTTGTGATCTGGATTTTTTTAATTATGAAAATTTCCCCCCTTTCTTAAATGGAAAATATGTCTAAATATAGCCATCAGAAATGTATCAGAAAATTTTAAAAAAGAGGCTGACTTGAATTAAAATTGGTGGAGAGGATGAAAGTCAACTTGTCAGAAGAAGAGGGACTCACTTTAATAGTGCAATCCAAATCATCTGTTTTTTTTCCCTCTTTTTTTTTCTGGTTCTCTTCACTCATCTCTTGGTCTACAGCATAACATGGCATCATCAAAATTTTAAATAAAATAAAATAATTAATGAATAAAAGTAGATTGTGCATGCAGCCAAATCTTCTTGGCAGTAGAATAGTACATAGTAGTGATGAGAGGGGCTGTTTTGTGATAAGTCAAACACCATTAATGAAAAATTAATTGGCAATTTGGCACCATCCTACCTACCTCTCTCCTTGTAAGACAAAAAAAAAAAAAAATCAGCAGTAAATCTTCTTATTAGTTATTACAGTACATTATTTACCATGGTGATTTCGACTAGGAAGATCACAAGAGTTATGTATGTTCAAATCTTGGTAATTTTCGGATATCGATACTTACCAGATATATAAGGATATCACATACAAATGTATTTCATTCTATTAAGAGAAACATGTATATGAAAGGCATAAAATCGCCTCTTTATGCTTTCTTAGTAATTCAAATTATTAGGAGAATATACACTAAATCTAACCAATCAATACTAATTACATTTTATCTTATTTCAAATTACACACGTGTCACATCTGCACCACACCATATAGATAGTACTGAACTGGTTCCAGACTCGAAGTTCTTTATTGAGTTTACATTTGTAGTACTAATTTTGATCACCACACAAACCAGTGTTGGGAAACAATATGGTTTGATTCAGATCATACCATGTATATGGTCTATAGTTCAGTGCTGACGGAACAAACCCCGTTGAATAACAAGTGAACAATTTATTTGGTCCATTACACCGAAACTCAAATTAATAAGTAATAAGTAATAACTGGAAATTCTCTCGTAAAACCTAAATATCAACACACGTGCATAACTAAATATCCTAATTCAAGGTAAATTAAAAAAAAAACACAAAACCAGGCAACCCAACATCCACCATAATATATTATATATGGAGACATGATCGTCCATGCTCTCTTGAAAATTGTGATTTGCGCATGAAAGAGAAGTTGCATTATTAGGCTCGAGTTTGCCGCTAACACGAATTGAGATTTGAGAAGAGGCTTACATCCTTGGTCGGGTCCGATAAATTGCAGGTTGGATCGTATCAATCAAACTATAAAAACATTTTATAATATAAACCATGAATCAAAATGTTCTTATTGATCTACTATCAATACCAAAAATTCAAATTACTTCGCGATTTTACAAACTATCTTTTATCTATTTCCTATCCCTAACACAAACACAAACACAAACAGAAAAACTAACTAACAAACAAAGGAAGGCGCATTATTGTTATCATATTTTCCGGTACTGAGAGTTACGTTAATCGTCATCAGAAAACTACTTTTAAATTACTGCAGTCAGCAAGTAAGTGGAGTTTTTTTGGCTTGGGTTTCAACTTACGAAATCAGGATGTGGATATGCATTATTTGGTATCAGGGCTTTGATTACCTCGTGCATTAATGGGCAGTTTTGACATTTTAGCAAGCTAGTCAGCTTAATTAGGTTAAGGGTGCATTTTTACCTTACCCATTTAAGTAGTCATGAGCACTACTAATAGTGCAGATTGTTGGGTTTGAAGGGTGGTTGTACGAAAGCTTGACAACGTGTGACTTGCATTATGATAAAGTCATGAACAATGTTCATTTTAATTTAAATAATATTTTCATCGTCCACAAAGTTTTTAAGTTACATGAAATTTTTTAAGGATAAAACTATATCAGCCTATCACTATTTTAGACCAACTTCAATGCAAGCCCCCAAATTTAGGGATCTTCATCCTCAAATTTGGGGTTCATCCCCATTTTCCCTTCTTTTGCTCCAATGCTACATCCTCTATATTTGGAGATCTCCATTTTTTAAGTTTTCCATTTACTTAAAAATGTACTTATCGAAGTCTTAATATAATTTGTTCATGTTAATTTTTGTATAGTTCGTCATCATTTTTAAATAAAAATTTCCAGTAGAAATTTTTTAAATTTTGAGAGCAAATTTTTGTTGACAAAAAATGATTGACCTAATTTGGGTTTACATACAACACTTGAAAATTATTGATCTAATTAAACCCCTAACTAATCCCCTAATTAAACCCCAATTAACCCTTAAAATCTTAAAAAGAAAAAGAAACGCCACGTGGCGGGCTTTGGGGAGTCTCTATATTTGGGGGAACTCCCATTTCCACCCCCAAATTTGGGGAAAAATCCAAAACTACCACTGTTTAAAAAAAATTACGAAAATACCACCCACTCCCAATAATTTCCAAAAATACCATCGTTTATTTAAAACCGCGCCTCTAATGGCCGGTTTTAATTGAAACCGCGCCTCCTGGCAGCGGTTATAGCACAAAACGCGCCTCCAACGCGCAGTTTGACCTTGCATGGCTGTCAAAACGCGTGGCCACGTGGCGTTGCATCAAACCGCGCGATGGGGGAGCGATCTGACTGCCAAACCGCGTGCCAGCTCAGCGATCCTCGTCGCTCAGTCAAACCGCTCCCCCGAAGCGCGGTTTGACTGTTGGGGAATGCAAACCGTGTGCTGGATGCGCGGTTTTAGATGGGGTAAAAGGACGAAACCGCCCCTCGCTCACGCGGTTTCGTCCCTATATAAACCCACCTTCCCCGTCCTATTTTCTGCATACCAAACCCATTCCCCCCTCTCTCCCTCTAACTTCTCACTCTACCCCCCACCCCCCCCCCCCCCCCCCCCACCCAAAAACCTTAGAATTAGTTATTTTGTTGGTTGCGGCTAAGTCCGATCTGCCTCCAAAAAACTTTTTCTTTGGTTTTCACTAAAAAACCGTCAAACCTCTGTCCGGATTCCAAAAAAATGGCCGATTTCGCCCAAGAAGAGGCCTTTATTATGATGATTATCAAACGATACGTACTCATTTTTCCCAATTGTTGTTGTTATAATGATTTATTTAATTTATATACTAATTGATTTATGTTATTGTTATGCTATCGTAGGTTGGGCCGGATGTTGATATTTTCAATCTTCATTTTGAATGTGATTGTAGTATGGAATAGGTACACGGTCGTGAGGTACCTCATCACCATCTGCGTATGAATCTGGACCGGAATCATCAGCACCTTCCAGCGGATCGAAGCTGTCTGCACTAACTTCGCATTCCTCTTCTTCAACCTCAGGGTCACTAACTGTACTTGGATTTACCTCTTCTTCCATCTGATTATCATCATGAAAGGCACCTTCACCTTCACCAGCTCCGTAATGGTAGTTGTGGTAACTAACACCATTTTGATAAAAGTTGTACTCGGGTGGGTACTGGTAGCCTGCTTGTTGGTTGTGATCCGCCTGTTGAGCTTCTTCTTCATATGAAGGGAAGGATTGATGACTTCCTCCAGTTCCATGATGATACTCCTGCCTCCAGCTCGAGTCTTGGAAATCCTGGTGGGGATGATCTTCGTATAATACACTCCCACCTTGGATACCAGATGTTTGACCATCTCCAGAATGACCTACACTGCCTTCGACTGCCTCGGTGTAAACGAACATCTCCGCTTGCTTAATTTTATTGGTGGTCAAAAATTGGACCATGGCATCAACGTCCTCCTGAGTGGTAAGGAGGAATTCCTCATTCCACAGCGACCCGTCATGTCTGTTTGGATATCGATACACCATTTGATCAACTCTTTTAGTGCCATCCATGCAGGTAATCTGAGTGCACATTTGATGGAGCTCTTCAAGCATCGGTCTCGTAGGGACCTTCATTTTATAAAAATTGCCACCGACGTAACTTACACCCTTTTCGGTCTCTTCCGTGTAACCATTCCACCGCAACCCAAGCTTGAACCTTTGGAATGCCATCTGCAATGAAAAGTAATACAAGTTACTAACATAACGTCACAAAGGACAATGAAAAGTAATTAAGTTACTAACATAAAATCACAAAGGACAATAAAAGGTAATTAAGTTACTAACATAAAATCACAAAGGACAATGAAAAGTAATTACGAAACAAACTTACGAATTAACGTTAATCGCAAAAACTAAATAATTTAAAGGTGCAAAGCTGAAATTTGAAGAAGGAAAAGGAGGAGTGTGAAGAATTGAGTTCTCTGAAACAGCCTTTTATAGGCAAATTTTGCAGCAAAACCGCGGGGGGGGGGGGGGGGGGGGGGGGGGGGGGGGGGGGGGGGGGGGGGGGGGGGGTGGGGGGGAGCGGTTTTAGGTCTGCCATGCAGCCCTACCCCTTGCATGCCGACATGTCCGATATGTTTGCTGTCGGGTGACCAGGCACAAACCGCGCCTTGGGGCAGAGGTTTATGTCCTGACATGGTAAACCGCCGCCTGGTGGGGCGGTTTATCATGCCGACATTTAAACGCTCCTCTTCAAGCGTTTTGTGGTAGGGTTAGCCTATAACCGCGCATTCCAGAAGCGGTTTTTGCTGGAAATTAAAAACGCCTCTTGGCAAGGCGGTTATATTCTAAACCGCTGCCAGGAGGCGCGGTTTTATATAAACGATGGTATTTTTGGAAATTATTGGGAATGGGTGGTATTTTTGTAATTTTTTTTAACAGTGGTAGTTTTGGATTTTTCCCCAAATTTGGGGATCCTTTTGGAGATCTCCCCCAAATATAGAGACTCCTCCATTTATAGAGGCTCCATTGGAGCCAACTTTCCCCCAAATATAGAGGCTTCCCCATTCATAGAGGCTCCATTGGAGTTAGCCTTAGGCTATAGGCTTAAGAACACTAAAACACACTTTTAAGTTGGATTATAGGTATAATATGCCCCTCTACTATAACGCTTTATCAAACATGCCCCTGTACTTTGTAAAAATTATCAAACATACCCTTTTGTTAAAATTTTCATCCAAAAACCGTTAACCAAGGCCGAACTTTAGTTTGGGAGACACAAATGACTAAAATATCCTTAATAAATTCACTTTAGAATTTTTTTGGTTCTTTTGTATAATCAAATCATTCAAATAATTTCACTTTGAAAAGACCCAGGGAAATAAAACAGGGGACAAAACTGGCATTTTTCCTCCCATTTGTCGATGTCGGGTCGTCTAAATCTCGGTTCAACCATGATTGACAATTTTTCAATGAAAAATTCAACAGAATGGCATGTTTGATAATTTTTTCAAAGTACAGGGACATATTTGATGTAAAAAATAGTAGAGGAGCATGTTTGATAAAACGTCATAGTAGAGGAGCATATTATACCTATAACCCTTTTAAGTTTTTTCCAGAACGAAGAAGAATGGATTTAAGTTATTTTCTTTCTATATAAGCATCTAGATGTTGAAGTATATAGTATCTTTAACATCAGAAATCCAATTAGCATCAGTATATCTCCTTCCTGTACAATGGATGTAAATCCACTATAAGTCAATATATGTTTGTGGCATTGATTTCACCAATTATACTATCTTTTGTGCCAGTAATGTTATTTTGGCATAGACATATAATCAAGTGTATAACAACAGGTCATGTTATGTGAATGTTAAGCATAGTAAAATTCATGAACTGATCGGTCAAGGGAGGATGAAAAGTCGTGTGGATGTTTTGACATTTTAGCTACCTAGTCATTCTAATTAGGTTTAGGGTGCTTTTTTACCTTACCCATTTAAGTAGCCATGCGCACTATCAACAGTGCAGATAAGTAGTGGGAAGATGACTAAATTTTGAACTTCTTCAACATTCCATGATCCATCTAAGTTGACTTGGAAGAACTGTTGGGCCGGGTAGGGCTAACTTTTCTTGTGCTTGTGCTGGTTCACGATCTATCTTGTGTGCTATATACCTCCAACATATTATTCGTGAAGCAATTATTTAAGATAATCATTTTTTCAGTGCTTTTTTTTTTCAAATGAATAACGTTTTTTCGCACTCACATCACTAAGTATTTTCATCGGGTCAGTGTGAATCCGCTCATAACATGAAAGGTGGTCTGTGTTCGAGTCATTTAAATAATAACATGAAAGCAAATAATCGAAGTTAGCCAAACATGGAGATGGAGCCACCAACTTTCAAACGTCTTTCGTAGATAGACAAAGGGCAACTATAGGAAGAAATATTGCAGAGGGTTGTTGCGCGGCCAACACCTCCACCCACCAATATAATTGGGCTATATATTCATCATTTCTCATCTTCCAATTGGATGCCCATTGTTTTCGTTTGATTTCTTGTACAGTTGTACGGCATATGGGAAATTTTTTAGATAGATAGTGGTCAATTAATATTATCGAGGAAAATGTTTGAGTTTTTTAAAAATGGATTTTAGGGGGAATCCGCCCAATGTGCACCACTTTAATGATGCTTTTGTGTGAGACAAATTTCATGTTCGTGTTAGGATCGGGCAACGATTTGGTGTATAGTCGAGGGACTCGAACTTTGGATCACATCAAATTGAATTATTGGTCCTTTTTTACTCGAGTTTGATAAATGTTTGGTTTTGTCTTCTGTTCGGACCAAAAATCATAAATTTACTTGATAATCGACACGAATTGTAACCAAATTGCTTATCTACCATATATATTCCCATTGCATGAAAGGCGGACAACTCGGCAAATCGACTTGCATAAAAGGTTATTTCATAATACATGCATTAACCTCTTATAAATTTTGTTTCATTTCAGCCCTGTTGACGCTCCTTACTCGATCCATTGCCCCTCAGTCTAGGGCTGAAAATTGGCCCGACCCGCCCCTGACCCTGTCCTGACCCGCCCCTGAAGGGTCAAGATGTATAACTGACCCGCCCCGACCCTGTTTCTTTCATGACCCTGTCTGACCCTTTAGGGTCGGGGCGGGTCAGGAAGGGTCGGGTCAGTGGGTCGACCCTAATAAATAGACTACTTTTCTAAAAATTACAATTTGGTACCCGAATTTATTTTTTCTTACATTTTAGTACCTAAATTTAATTTTTTTACAAATAAGTCCCTAAAATTTGATGGTAAAATTACGTTTTGGTACCCAAATTTTTTAATTTTTACAATTTAGTACCTAAATTTTTAAAATTTTACAAATAGGTCCAACATGTTTCTATGATGCTAAGGGTCATAGGGTCAAAAAGTGACCCGACCCTAAATTGACCCGACCCTATCTGACCCTGACCCGACCCTAAGCTGACCCGACCCTAAATTGACCCTATAGACAAACTGACCCAGCCCGACCCTGAGGGTCGGGGCGGGCCAGTGGGTTTTAAGGGCCAAACTTACACCCCTACCTCGGTCTGTCTTGCCACCGAACAGAAGAAAAGACTATTTGATCAACACTAACACTAGCTCACTTCTAACTTCCATATATGTGAGGCTCTCATGTCTGTCCATGTTAACCATTATACTTGATTATCGTCTCCTATTTTGTGAAGGAACTTAATGAATTAATACATACAAGTAAACAAAGGTCTCCATTTTTTTGATGAGGATGAAAGGTAGGTTTCCCCAAGTACACTAAAATGGTCGGTCGACTCGATCGAGCCACTAAGCAACTAGGCGTATAACATATATATATAGATGGAGTTGACATTAAACCCTAGCTAGCCATAGCTTGCTTTTTGGTACAGCGCCAAAACTATATATTGAGCCAACAACTCATCACATGCATCTCCAAAAGCATTATACTGATAGATTCTGTGCAATGAACCCAGCCGGTGTGGGAAAACAACAGAAGGCCGTCCTGCTAGCAGCTAAACCCTAGATCAGATTAATCAAAACACTCACTCTCGATCTCATTTTCTATCGGTCCACTTGATTTTTTCTAGCTCGTTGACTTTGTAGCTTACGATCTCTCTCTGTTGTTTTGTGGAGGTTGAAGCCCATGCAACAACATATGGGAACTGGATCCTGGCTAATTATGAATCAAATCAATTATTGCTGTGAATTTGTTGTTGGACGTTGTTGTTGTGGTTGATGATGAATTCATTGCAGTGAATTTGAGTTTCTATCTTGATGGGTAGAAATCTAACAAATAATCGAACGAGGCGGTTTCTCGAGTCTCGAAATGTCTCTCCTGTTCTTTTGGCCTCTTAACACACTTATTGGACATTTTGTGCTATGTTGTTTCGTGTTAATTATGTGCCAACATGTCGCATGTCGTGATTGATTTCTGGTAATTAGTATTAACTGTTAGGAACGGAACAACAAAAGGAACGAGGTTACCGAATCTGGAGCTGAGTCGCGGACTAGGTCGCTCTCTTTAAGACGTTCGCGGCACTGCCTTCGATGCGCACGGCAGACTATCAACCGGTCGTCTCCAGGATAAAACAGCTCCTCTCAATACTCGCGAGTTTGTGCGAAAATCGAAGCTCTCTGAACACTCTCTCTATTGTGTTTACGCTCGTTGTGATGTGTTTAGAGGGGCGGGGGAGGCGGCTATTTATAGGAGCCGAACCCCTAGGAATATACCCTCTTGCTTGGGGAATAAGTCGGATCAATTAAGGAAGATAATTACTTCCTTAATTAAAACCGTCGGTTAAGATAAACCCGGAGGGATTATCCTTCGAATATTCCTTTTTAGTCGATTATCCTTAGCATATTCCTCGGAATAACCGATTAATAATTAATTTCATTCGGAATTTCTCAAAAAAAAAAAATATATGTAGTCTCAAGTGAACCAACCAACCAACCAACCGACCCACCGACCGGTCGGTCGGACGGACGGCGCACGCGCGCGCGTGTGTGTGGTGGTCCGTTAGGTCCTCCCTCTCCCACAAAAGTGGGTCACCCCAAGGGGCATGCCCTTAGGAGAGAGGCTCCTATCTTTATACCCATTTCACCAAGTAAAACTACCAATGTGGTAGTTTTTCCACTTGAGACTCTATAGCTTTCAAAGCTATTCATATACATTTCCAACAATCCCCACTTGAATAGTTTTGAAACTATCTCTGAGCATCAACAGTTCCATAAGATCGGGCATAAGCTAAGGTATCGCGAAGATTTGAACCTTAGCGTAGTGGTTACACTTCCGATTTCATAAGGGTGACTCGTAGTCTTGAACCCTATCTCAGACAGTGCAGCACACCGGATCTTTTCATTGAGTTGTGTTCTCTTCATAGCCCGTGCGTTTATGGCCATGCACGTTACCCTGGTTTAGTGAACGCTCTAGCAACTTTGTGCCTCCAAAGTTCCATAGGGAGCGGCCCCACTCCCACATTCACATAGGTGAGTCTATCAAGAGTACCCCCAAAGTAAAGTACTCCACCCCACATAGGGTAATAGGGTATAGATCTCATTAAGAGTTATTAACTCAACCTCCATTGCTTTGGGATTCATGCTTCGCTATGCATGAACTTTTCGCATACTACTCATGACTTGTTATTACCCATTGAACCCATTTCTTGGGATCTCCAGTCTATTGGGTCGGGTTACCATCACTTGTAGTCCGTGGTTTGGTAGGCATAAGTCCCATACCCTTGGTGGTATTTTGGACTTTCTCTCTAGGTAATCCTTTCGTCAAAGGATCAGCTAGATTCTGTTCGGATCTTATATGATCCACCCTCACTGCTCCTATCGTTAGGAGTTCTCTTACAGTACTGTGCTTACGACGAATCTGTCGTTTCTTTCCGTTATAGAACCAGTTCTCAACTTTACCGATAGCTGCGGTACTATCACAATGGATCAATACCGGAGGGACCGGCCTTTCCCATAGGGGAATCTCTGACAACAATCCTCTCAACCAACTTGCTTCTTCACTAGCCGTTGCTAATGCTATCATCTCTGATTCCATAGTTGATTGAGCTAGGATTGTTTGTTTCTTTGACTTCCAAGACACAGCTCCACCAGCGATGTTAAAACCATACCCGCTGGTTGCCTTGGAGTCATCTGATAGGGTATTCCAATCCGCATCACTATACCCTTCTAGTACAGCAGGAAACCTTTGATAGTGTATACCAAAGTTTGCTGTTCTCTTGAGGTATCTAATGACCCTCTCTATAGCATTCCAATGCTCTCTACTAGGACAGCTGTTAAACCTGCCAAGCAATCCCACGACATATGCAATGTCTGGTCGAGTGTAATCCGCAGCATAACGAAGACTGCCAATGATGCTAGCATATTCTGATTGTCTTACACTGTCCCCAGTGTTCTTAAATAGCTTTACACTAGCATCATACGGAGTACACACAGGTTTACAGTCGAAATAGTTATATTTCTTCAAGATCTTCTCTATGTAGCTAGATTGATCTAGAGAATAACCATTTGCTGTTCTAGTTATCTGGATTCCAAGCATAAACTTTGCTTCTCCCAGATCTTTCACTTCAAAGCTCTCTTTCAACATGGCTTTTGCTT